AACGAAACGCTTTTTTTCTGCTATTGCGATTTTTCAATTCAAAATCTCTGTTGGTCCTTCCGCTTTTCCCCGCTATTTCCTACCTCACCTAGCCGTCTCATTTCCTCAAGGGTCTTTGCTAGCTTGCCAGATCAACAAATTTCCTCAAGAATCTCTGCTGGCCTGCCTGTTTTTAGCATCGGATCGTGCTCCTCCTCCTCCAAATTCCTTAAAATAGCCACCATTCGTGCCCAGAGGCTATCAATTTGCGGGTGGGTCCCTAGGAAAGCACGAAAAATCGGCTGTTGCACTCTTTTTTGTCCAAAAATTTATCGATCCTATTTTACAGCAAATAAATAACGAGAATTTCCTCAGAGATTTCTGCTAGCCTGCCGTTCCTCAAGAACCCAAAATCCCGAGGCGAAACCATATCCGGAGCGGCTTGTAATTTCAGGAGGATGGGCCATAAAGCACTCAACCCGGCAGGGAGGAGCGGCAGCTGTTCTCTGTCTCTCGCTCCTTCTTTCTCTCTCTCAGTCCCTTTGTCTCTCTGCCTATCTCGCTCTCTCTCTCTCGCTCTCTTTCGACTTTTCATTGGCACTTGTCAGTGAGAGTGATGTCCGGTGTTTTCGTCCCACTATCGCTGCCCTCTCTTATTTATTGCCCCCCTCCCCCCAAAAACTGTAGTTAGTTGAATTTTGTTGCAACTGGTAGGCTAGCAGAGATTTTTGAGGAGCCGAACGTGTCTCATAATTAGAAAAACTGAAATTAGACGGTAGCCACAATTTGACGCAACATAGTAATTTTACGAAGGTACTTAAGAATTCCTCAAGAATCTCTGCTAACCTGCCATGCTTTCGTGCATTCCCAAATAATCTCTGCTAACCTGCCATGCTTTCGTGCATTCCCAAATAATCTCTGCTAACCTGCCATGCTTTCGTGCATTCCCAAATAATCTCTGCTAGCCTGCCCTCTCCTCTTCCTCAACAATCTCTGCTAGCCTGCCCTCTCCTCTTCCTCAACAATCTCTGCTAGCCTGCCCTCTCCTCTTCTTCAACAACCTCTGCTAGCCTGCCCTCTCCTCTTCCTCAACAATCTCTGCTAGCCTGCCCTCTCCTCTTCCTCAACAATCTCTGCTAACCTGCCATGCTTTCGTGCATTCCCAAATAATCTCTGCTAGCCTGCCCTCTCCTCTTCCTCAACAATCTCTGCTAGCCTGCCCTCTCCTCTTCCTCAACAATCTCTGCTAGCCTGCCCTCTCCTCTTCTTCAACAACCTCTGCTAGCCTGCCCTCTCCTCTTCTTCAACAATCTCTGCTAGCCTGCCCCCTCTCCTCTTCTTCAACAATCTCTGCTAGCCTGCCCTCTCCTCTTCCTCAACAATCTCTGCTAGCCTGCCCTCTCCTCTTCCTCAACAATCTCTGCTAGCCTGCCCTCTCCTCTTCCTCAACAATCTCTGCTAGCCTGCCCTCTCCTCTTCTTCAACAATCTCTGCTAGCCTGCCCTCTCCTCTTCCTCAACAATCTCTGCTAGCCTGCCCTCTCCTCTTCCTCAACAATCTCTGCTAGCCTGCCCTCTCCTCTTCTTCAACAATCTCTGCTAGCCTGCCCTCTCCTCTTCTTCAACAATCTCTGCTAGCCTGCCCTCTCCTCTTCCTCAACAATCTCTGCTAGCCTGCCCTCTCCTCTTCTTCAACAATCCCCGCTAGCCTGCCCTCTCCTCTTCCTCAACACTCTGCTAGCCTGCCCTCTCCTCTTCCTCAACAATCTCTAGCAGCCTGCCCCTCTCCTCTTCCTCAACAATCTCTGCTAGCCTGCCCTCTCCTCTCTCTTCAACAATCTCTGCTAGCCTGCCCTCTCCTCTTCCTCAACAATCTCTGCTAGCCTGCCCTCTCCTCTTCCCTCAACAATCTCTGCTAGCCTGCCCTCTCTCCTCTTCTTCAACAATCTCTGCTAGCCTGCCCTCTCCCTCTTCTTCAACAATCTCTGCTAGCCTGCCCTCTCCTCTTCCTCAACAATCTCTGCTAGCCTGCCCTCTCCTCTTCTTCAACAATCTCTGCTAGCCTGCCCTCTCCTCTTCCTCAACAATCTCTGCTAGCCTGCCCTCTCCTCTTCCTCAACAATCTCTGCTAGCCTGCCCTCTCCTCTTCTTCAACAATCTCTGCTAGCCTGCCCTCTCCTCTTCCTCAACAATCTCTGCTAGCCTGCCCATAGCTCCAAAACCTTGTTTTCTCAAAACATCACTGCTAGCTGGCCCTCATCCATTGTTTTCGCCACTTCACCGTAAAAAAGTTGAGCAATTACTGGGCAACAAACATCCCGGGGGTGCCCAGAAATTAATGGCCTTTTCAGCGGCCAACCCCTTAATGTCTCGCCGGGGGCGCAAAGTTTGGCACAACGCATTTTCTGGCTCTCTCTCTCTCTGTGTCTCTCTCTCTCTATCTCTCTCGCGCTCTCTGTCTCTCTCTCTGTCTATCTCTCGCTCTCTCTCGCCCCTCTATCACCCCAAGCACCCTCTTGGGCTTTTGTTTTTGGACCCATTTGGACTGGGCGGCTAGCGCGAAGGCTCGACGTCATTAAAGGGGTATTGAAGACCTGGAGGGGGGGGGGTGGTCGAAAAGTCCTTAAATTGTCTCTGCTAGCTTGCCCTCGGTCACAATTCCTCAAAATGTCTCTGCTGGCCTGCGCTGCAATTTGAATACCCGGAAAATGGCCAGACCCCCCAAAAAACGTGGACCAAAATTCTGAATGGGTTGGGGCTTGGGGGCCGGCTTGGCAGATTATGGCCCGGGAAGCTATTATCCACTCGCCAGCCAGGGGGGGGAGGGCCCAAACTTGGGGCCCAGGCGAACACATGCCCTCCAGCCATTTTGAAGGGCATCCAAATATTAGGGGCCCCAGCCAGGGCCCTAATATTACAATTATATACAATCTGCATTTTGGGGCGGCTTTTTACGGGTGCAGACTGTTTTGGCGGTACGCAAATTCCTGCGTAGGCTAGCAGAGGAAATTTGACGAAAATTTCGCCCCTTCACCGCCGCCCAGGGCAAGCTAGCAGAGGCAATTTGGGATCGTCTGGCAATGCCTGCCATTTTTTTTGCTGGCGCTTAAGTCACCATGCGTATAGATTAAAAATGGCCCGAGAAATTCTAGAGTTTTCCCCAAAAACTCTCTGCTTGCTTGCGTTTTTTTATGTTTGTAGAAGGATACAAAACCGCATTATTAACGAACCTTGTCTCCGCGTCATCAGATTGGTTGTAACATTCTTTCAGAATTTTTTTTTTTGCTTCCGATTCACCATGTTTTAGCAAAATTTAGAGGTCACATGGAATTTTTCAGGCCTTATCGGCCTTTTTTCTATATGTCTCTATCTTTTATTTTCGGTTTCAGAGTGGAGATGTAACGTATTTTATAAACGCGACATTGCGCAGTTTAAAGCGATATCCAGCGAATTAGCATCGCGAAGTTTTTAAACATTTTCGCGCCCTTGCCCTTCGCCCCCTAAAATGCCATGAAAAATCCGTTTCACTCCAAATGCCGAAACTTAAGCAACTTCGGAATTTTCAGCCGCAAATTTTTCTAAAAATTCGCCATTTAGTAGTATTTTGTGTATTTTGCATTTAGACTTACTAGCCGTCAGCAATTATTGCAATTTTTGCCGATTTAGCATCGCCAAATTTTGAAACATCCTACCGTCGTTTCCTTTCCTCTTAAGATGCTAGGAGAGATTCCGAATCACTCCAAATGCCGAAACTTAAACAGGTTCGGAACTTTCAGCAGCAAATTTTTCTGAAAATTCGCCATTTAATGTTATTTTGAAATTGAAATAGTGCTCCGATTAGGTCATTATTTACCGATTTCCCCACTCCCAAATTTTTAAAGATTCTCCCGTCCTGCCTTCCTCTTAACATTCCAGGAAAAATTCAGTATCGCTCCAGATGCCAAACTAAAGCAGTTTATCATTATCAGCAGCAAAATTTTTCGGAATATTTAACACTTACTAATATTTGGTGTATTTTTCAAAGATTCCGGTGCCCAATTCTTGAAATTTTGCCGATTTAGCATCGCGAAATTTTGAAACATTTGCCCACCCTTTCCCTTCGTCCCTTAAAATTCCATGAAAAATTCCGTATCACTCCACTCCAGAACTAAAGCAGTTTTAGAATTATCAACAGCAAGTTTTTCTGAAAATGGAACATTTAATAATCTTTTTTGTAATCAACAAATATCACCTTCTCGAATTATTGCAATGTTGCCGCTTTTGCATCGTCAAATTTTTGAAACATCGGCCCGCCTCTCCTTTTCCTCTTGACTCCATGAGAAATTCCGTATCGCTCCAAATGCCAAACTAAAGCAGTTTTAGTATTATCAACAACAAATTTTTTGAAAATTCAGCATTTAATAATATTTTATGTATTTTACGGATATTTCCGGTGCCAAATTATTGCAATGTTGCCGATTTCGCACTGCAGAATTTTGAAACATCCGCCCGCCTTTTCCCCTTTCCCTCTTAAAATTCCATGAAAAATGCCGTATCACTCCAAATGCCGAAACTCGAGCCGCTCCCCCGGGTGCTGCTCTTTTCACTTTCCGGGGGTGGGACATATTTTTGGAAAAAGTTCCGCTAGCAAAAGGGCCTAGAGATTCGATATTCTCGTCCAAAGCCGAGAGTTCCTGATCCGGATTTTTGTAAAACTCAAAACTACTCGTTTTTCTTCTTGATATTGTTATTTTCCAGTTTTTATTGTAAATTTAATAAAATGTATTCATAATATCGTCAGTTTTTATTTTTCGAAGGATACTTTGCTTGATTTTTTTGTTTGAACTTAGCTGAAAACTTTATTGTATGGTTTCTCGTTTTCAGAAGCTAACTCTTACTTTGACGGTTATATTATTTTATTTTTGTTCCAATTTTCTATTAATTCTTCTTCATATTTAATTCCCGATTTTCCATCGTGCTTTTTATGCAAATTTTACGCTTTTTCTAGAAAACGGCGCCCGCAGCCCGTCGTGCGATGCGTAGATGAGTCTATGCGAGCTCGGGTCGCTCAGATTTGAGGTGGGAATTACTAAAAAACAATGAAATACCTATACATAATCGATTTATTGTTAATTATTTTACTCAAAAACCAAAAACTCAAACAATTCGGGGTTTCAAAAATTCGCATATTCAGCTAATAGGCAAAACATTTGATTTGCCCACACGGTTCGCATTCCTGATTTCATCAAATTATCTCTGCTAGTCTGCCCCAGGGGCTGTGAAAAGATTTAATGGGTATAATTTCGATTAAACATTCTCATTATTTATTATTTTTAGCACAGATTCTTAAAGCAAATTAACAATCAGATAAGAAACTAAAAATCGAATTTGAAGTAAAAATTTTTTCCTTCAAAATTGTCTACCATGCGTGAACAGCACGTAACTGTAATTTCATTTCGTGCGTTGCATCCTGAATTCCCCAGAATTCCTCAAATAGAAAACAGAAACCCAAAGCATAAAAGAATTCAAAAATTAAAAATTAAAACTAAAAAGTAAAAAAATTGCGTCTTTCAATTTTTTTTACCATCGGCGCGGATTCAAAAAAAATCTAATGCCAGCACCGGGTCCATTTCTCTAATCTCATAAATTGTCTCTGCTCGCCTGCCCCCGGGCTGAGGCGGAAATTCAATAAGTATGATCCTACTATATATAAAAAAATAGTGTTTGTGTGTGTGTGCATTTGCATGCAACTTCCGTCCGTATGTTCCGGTCGTATCTCAATAAAGGAAGGAGTGAAAGGCACGTATGATACGTCATTAGGTGCGTAATGGTCATGACACGACTGCACGCATATAAAATTTTTCAAAATCAGCTATTTTCGACATTAAAAATAGGTTTTTGTGAAAATCGCGCTCGGCCTCTTTGTTAGGGTACAATTTGCATGCACCGGAAATGGGGAGAGCCTAGATAATGGGGGGAGAGGAGGCGTCTTTCATTTTTTCCCCAGGAATTCAGGAGTTTATGCAAAGTGCTGAAGCATGAGGGTAAGACGGGGGCCAGGGTTGAAAAGTCGCGAAGCGGCTTTTCAACCCTGGTTTGGACTTAACGATAATCTACGGCCCATACGTTAAAAATAAGCCAAATTATTAATTGAAACAATTCAATGTTTCAAAATGATCTGCTTTCTGCGCGCTGTCAATCAACATAATTCGTTGCACTTTGGCAATTCCTCCATTCCCTCTGCTAGCCTCCCCCTAGGGGTTGGGGAAGAAATTTGACGGATATAATTTCGATCTAACCTTAATTTATCACAGTTTCTTACAGCAAAATACCAATCAGAAAAGAAGCAGAAAATTGAGAAAAAAAACATGTGTTTCAAAATTTTCTACCATCCACGATTAACACGTCACTGTAATTCTATCCACTTCATGGGTTGCATCCTTAATGACCAAAGTTCCTCACATCGTCTCTGCTAGCCTGCCCTGGGTGCTTTTGAGAAAATTTAACGAGGATCCCTCTTCTTACAGCTATTTTTTTTAAGATCCTGGAGCAAAAAGTTGCTCAGAAAAAACTAACATCGGAATTGGACGTAAAAAAATTTGTGTTTCCAAATATTCTACCATCTACGAATAGCCCGCAGTCATAATGCCCGTCCTTTTCTTCCATGCATCCTCAATTCCCCAAAGTTCCTCAATTTTCTCTGCTAGCCCGTCTGCTGTGTAGGAATTTTTACTGGTGTAATCGCTATTAAACTTTAATATATTAAGTTTTCAAGCAAAATCAATCAGAAGACAGGCTAAAAATTGAAACAAAAGTAAAAATGGTCAGTTTCAAAAATGTCTAGCATCCTCGAATGGCCGGTATATTTAATGCACTGCCTTCTGAGCAACGCTAAAATTCCTCAAATTCTCCCTGCTAGCCTGCCCCGGGCTGAGGCGAAAATTCGAAGAGTATAAATAAGATTTAATCTTAATCTATCTTCTTCAGCACCCTTGAAACAATTCATCAAGACCATCCGCGAACAAACTATGAAAACACAATTCAGCAATCGTATGTTTCAAAAATGTCTACCATCCGCACATCGCCGATAAATATAATACCTTGCATTCTAGGCATGGATCCCATTCCGCAAATTCTCTCTGCTAGCTTGCCCTGGCTGAAGCCGAATTCAGCGATGGCAATTGCCACTTGATCTTAATTTGTTGCAGTCCTGAAAAGGGTTGATTAAGTTCATCCCAGAACAAAGTATGAAAACGCAATCCAGAAACCACATGTTTCAAAAATTTCTACCATGCGCGAGTCGCCCATAAATATAATGCCACGAGACCATCGTATTGTTAATTGCTCAAATTGTCTCTGCTAGCATACCCAGAGGCTGAAGCGGAAATTGAAAGAGTGTAATTTCCATTTGATCTTATTAGTTAGAAATCCTGAACACAGTTTATTAAGACCTTCCACGAACAAAGTGCGAAAACACAATTCAGAAACCACATGTTTCAAACTTAAGTACCATCCGCGAATAGCCGAAAAATAGAGTCTGCTCATTCCTGAAATTATCTCTGCTAACCTGCCTATTTTCAGGTGGAATGGCTGGCAGAGGCGCTGACGGCCGTCCAGGGCTTCTACGCCCCCTTCCATCCCTATGTGGCCATGGCGCTTTGTATGGCAGGTGAGGGTAGTCTTTATGACCTGTTCAAATATTAAAAAAACTTGGAAACGTTTTTTTAAAAGTTTTCTTTAGGAACGCTAATGAACATCTCGACCGTGGTGGTCCTCACCCGGCCATCGATGATCTCGGCGGTGAACCTGTTGCTGTGCGCGGTGGCTGTATGCGATGTCGTGGTGATGTCGTCACTATCGCTATTTCTATATCACTTCCTGTTATCGGCGCAATCGAGGTCGGCCAGCTGGCAGAGAGTGTTGAGGAAGAGGAGAGGGCAGGCTAGCAGAGATTGTTGAGGAAGAGGAGAGGGCAGGCTAGCAGAGATTGTTGAGGAAGAGGAGAGGGCAGGCTAGCAGAGATTGTTGAGGAAGAAGAGAGGGCGGGTTAGCATGAGATTTTTAGGATTCTCAAGTTGGCTTTTCAGGTGTGATCAACAGGACTACACCCGAGGATGGGCCAATTTTATGTACTACCATTCGCAGATTACCGTAATCCTCCATGCCACCAGCATTTGGCTTACGGTAAGAGAGAGAGAGAGAGCGAGAGAGAGGGAACGAGAGAGAGGGAGAGAGAATTCTCGCTTTTCAGGTAATCCTCGCCCAAATTCGCGTTCTAACTATCCGAAAAGCCAGGGTCGGCCCAACAGAAGGAATCGGTGTCAGAGGTAGGGTAGCTTTGGTGTCACCATCCCTTTAAAGGTACCCTTGGGATCGCGCTTATCACTCTACTCATCTGTACCGCCATCAACATGCCAAATATGTTGACTTTTCAGGTTTGAATTTGAGTTTATAAGCGAAAGATAGAGAGACAGACAGAGAGCGAGACAGAGAGAGAGAGAGAGAGAGAGAGAGAGAGAGAGAGCGAGAGCGATAGTGAGATCGTTTAGATAGCTCAACTCCCAGCCGAAGCCCTTCTCCCCTGCCTCCTGGATGGTGACGTCGGCTCAAACGAGACGATGGTCGTTGAGCTGGGCACGGTGTATATGGTAAAGCCGGATGAGGACGATTGTGGGCTGTTAAAGGTATGTGGAAGCTTAGAAATGACCCTGTAACAAATCAAATGTTTCGCCTTTTTCCAAGTGGCCGAAGAATTTTAGCATAGCAATCGTACGTCGGGTGATGAATCGGATTCAGCGTTTTCCAAAAGGTTCTGCTATTTCTCCCATGCTTCAATAATTTCTGCTACCCTGCCTTCGTGCAATTTTCGAAATTGTAACCCGCCAAAAGGTCGCGTTGAAAAATCCCATTCGAAAAAATAACATGTTTTGGTTCTTTTCAAAGAGTGGAAAAATATTATCGTAGCAATGCGCGGCTGGTTGCTGAAGCAAGTATTCTGCCAGATATTTCTAACTCAGTTATCTCTGCTATGAGTTCTTTTCTCGAAAATTCGGCTAATTCGCCTTTCTCCAGCGATCTCTGCTAGCCTGCCCGTTTGCAATTTCCGAAACCAAAACCTGCCGATATACCGCGCTTAAAAATCGAAATAAAAAACATGTTTCGGTCTTTTTCAAGTAGTAGCACAATATTATCATAACAATCCTCCGCCCGGTTGTGAACCCAATATCAGCCTTGTCCAACGGACTTCTGCAAGTTCTCCCGTTCCTCAATAATCTCTGCTAGCCGTTCTTTCCCCGAAAAGTGCTGCTAGTTAGACTTGCCTTAATGATCCCTCCTAGGCTGCCTATGCGAAACTTCCGAAATTATAAACTTTCAATATCTCGTGCTCATCCTACTATATATAAAAAAATAGTGTGTGTGTGTGTGTGTGTGTGTGTGTGTGTGTGTGTGTGTGTGTGTGTGTGTGTGTGTGTGTGTGCATTTGCATGCAACTTCCGTCACCGTGTTCCAGTAGTATCTCAAGAGGGGAAGTACTTAGGGGTATGTTCGATGCGTCATTAGGTGCGTAATGGCCTGGAGATGACTGCACACATATCAGATTTTACAAAATATGATGTTTTCGATATTAATTAAGTTTTTCATGGAAAATCGGACACCCCACTTTGTTAGGATCAAATTAGCATGCACCGGAAGACGCGGTAGCCTATATAAACGGACGGCAAGAGCATTTTTCATTTTTCGTCATCCGAATCCGGGAAAATTATGCAAATCCAAGAATATCATTGGTGAAGACGGGGCCAGGGTTGAAAAGCCGCGAAGCGGCTTTTCAACCCTGGTAATCCATTTAAAAAACATGTTTCGGTCTTTTTCAAGTAGTAGAAAAATATCAGCATCGCAATCCACGGCCTGGCGTCTTTCAAGCTTTTCTATATGTTCTCTGCTAGGCGCCTTGCTCAAAAATCTTCCTAGTTTGGGTTTCCCCAATAATCCCTGCTAGCCCGCCTTCGTGCAACTTTCGAAATTGTAACCTGCCAAAAGGTCGCGCTTAAAAATCTCATTCGAAAAAATAAAATGTTTCGGTCCTTTTCAAAGAGTGGAAAAATATTGTCATAACAATCCTCGCCTTGTTACTAAAAATTGTAAGTATTCTGCTAGATATTTCTCCCTCAATGATCTCTGCTAGCGGTTCTTTTCTCAAAAATTCGGCTATTCGCCGTTCCCCAGCGATCTCTGCTAGCCTGCCCTTTTGTAATTTCCGAAATTACAAGCTGTCGATATATCGCACTTAAAAGTCCAAGTAAAAAAACATGTTTCGCTCTTTTCGAAGTGGTAGAACAATATTCTCATAACAATGATCCTCGAGTTATAATCAGTATCCATTTCCTCAATAATCTCTGCTGGTTGCTTTTTCCCAAAAAATTTCGGCTAGCAATTTTTTCCTCAATAATCCTTGCTAGCCTGCCTTCGAACCTTTTTCCGAAACTATAACCTGCCGATATAACGTGCTTAAAAATCCCGATAAAGTGACATGTTTCGACCTTTTGCAAGTAGTAGTTCTCCCATTCCTTAATAACCTCTGCTAGCCGTTTTTCTCGAAAATTTCTGCTAGTACGTCGTTCCTCAATAATCCCTGCTAGCCTGCCCTAAAAAAATTTACGAAATTAGAAGCTGACATTATAGCGCGCTTCAAAACACAGACCTAAAAAACAAAATGTTTTTATGTTTTTGGAGTAGTGGAATAATATTGTCATAGCAATCCGTCTTCTTTTGTGATTGATTGTTTGTAATAGCTGCTCTTTCCTCAAACATTTCTGCTCATTCGCCTTTCCTCATTCATCCCTGCTAGCTTGCTTTTATGCAAATTTTGAAGTTCTCACTGAAAAATGTAATCAAAAAACCATGTTTCGATCTCTTTCAAGTAGCAGAACAATGTGATCATAGCAATATTCCGATGGGTGCGAACATATCATCCTTGTCCAAAGAACTTCTGCTACTTTTCCCATTCCTCGATGAGCTTTGCTAGCTGTTCTTTCCTCAGCAATTTCTGTTAGTTGACCTTTCCTCAATAATCCCTGCTTGCCTGCCGTCAAACCATTTCCGAAATCAAAACCTGTCTATATATCGCTTTTAAAAACCAAATAAAAAAGCAGGTTTCGGCCTTTTCCAAGGAGGAAAGCAATTTTATCTTAGCAATCAACGGCACAATTTGCATATCACGATTTTAGGCGCCAAGGGTTTCGTCAGCCCGATTTTCCTCAAAATTCTCTGCTAGCCTACCGTTGCTCACTTCGCAAATTCCAATTTTCAGGTGGCCTACTGGACGAATGGGATCCTGTTCAAAGTGGTCCCCTGCATCCTGCTCACCCTCTCCATCGTCGCGCTACTAAAAATTATTGCCGACGTGGCGAACAGGCGGAAAAATTTAGCACAGGTCAGTGGGCTTACTGGGGCTTCTACCGTCCTTTATAAACTGTTTAATTCCTAGAAAGCTTGAATCTTTTCTACATTTTCTCTCGCTCTCTCTCTCTCCATCTCCATGTTCTAGGTGATGAACAAGAAGAAAATGCCACGCGACCACACCACCCCTATGCTGGTCGCCGTTTTGTCGATATTCTTGGTGGCTGAATTACCACAGGGAGTCCTCCACGTCTCTAATGCTATTTTTGACAACGAGACGTTTCATAGACGGGTAAGTTACACTAGGAATCTCTGCTAGCCTGCCCTCTTCTCTTCCTGAACAATCTCTGCTAGCCTGCCCTTTTTCAGGTCTACATCCCCCTCGGCGACCTGATGGACCTGTTGTCCCTCATCAACTCGGCCGTCAACTTTATCATCTACTGTGCGATGAGCCGGAAGTTCCGCGCCGTCTTCCTCAACCTGTTCCTCGCCTGCCTCCCCGAGCGCATCGCCAAGTAAGCTAGGAATCGGTTTTAAAGGCCCTTGGAAGGGCGGAATCGAAGACTCCGGCCTTCAGCCCATTTAAACTCAGGAAAATTTCCTCGAATCTAGGCGTCGACGTCAAAAGGTGTGGTTCGTACAATTGGGCTGAACCCAGAGCAGTGGCTTGGGATTTTGGCCGTAAAAAAGGAGGCCGAGAGCGGATTCCGTTGCGATGTAAATTGCAATGCTTGTTCAAGGGCAGGCAAGCAGAGATTGTTGAGGAAGAGGAGAGGGCAGGCTAGCAGAGATTGTTGAGGAAGAGGAGAGGGCAGGCTAGCAGAGATTGTTGAGGAAGAGGAGAGGGCAGGCTAGCAGAGATTGTTGAGGAAGAGGAGAGGGCAGGCTAGCAGAGATTGTTGAGGAAGAGGAGAGGGCAGGCTAGCAGAGATTGTTGAGGAAGAGGAGAGGGGCAGGCTAGCAGAGATTGTTGAGGAAGAGGAGAGGGCAGGCTAGCAGAGATTGTTGAGGAAGAGGAGAGGGCAGGCTAGCAGAGATCTTTCTGGAAATGAGCCCGTAATTTGCACCGCAGCGGAACCCTGCCACCTCCGAATGTAGCACCCGCTTTGCACCCGACCCCGACCCGCCTGGGTCCCGCCACGAACCCCTGCTTTTTAAAAATAATTAAATTCTTGGGAAATAATGTCGATTTTTCAGGAAATGGCGCGAAGACTGGGGCGACACCGGCGACACTTCCAGACCGCGGCCATCCGGCTACACCGGAACGGAGCAGGTAGCCGCCTGGGTGGGTGCCGTGAATGGCACGCACTTTTTTGAGTCTTGTTTTTTGAAGCCTGTAGCAAATGTAATTTGGAATGGAACGGAATGGATACTGTAGGAGTTAAGAAAGAAACAAGGAGGATTTTTAGTGAACGGGGTACGGTAGAAACGGAATCTTTAAGATGGAATAACTGTAGCTACTACGGAATGGATACTGTTTATGCAGGTATTGTAATTGCTAAGCGGCGGGGTAAAATCATAGTAAACGGAAACGATAAAAATCGGATGTCTCATGAATAGGCACGGTAGAGCGACAATTTTGCAAAATATTCTACGGAAGCCCTGATCCGAGACTTATTCCGGCACGCTATCGTAGTTCTATTTATTTTTATTTTTTAAGTGTCTAATTCATTAAAATTCCGGCCGAATATATATTGTAGATGAGGGTACTGTAGTTTCCGATTAACGGTAACATTGTCATATCTGGAAACGACAAAACAGCATGTTTCAAGAATGGGTACGGTAGTTCGAAAATTTTTGAAAGTATTGTTAGGAGGATTGGATCTCCAAAAATATCAAACTAATTCCGGCGAAATATCGTAGTCTAAAATTCCCTATTTTTCCCCAAATTCAGCAAATTTCAAAATTTCTATGGTAGATGCAAAGTACTGTATTCCCAGGAAGGGTCAATTTACAACAGTACGAACTACAAAAAAAGATGTTTTATGCCTGGCCGTGGAAGATTAGACATTTTATACGGTAATCGGTGCACCATATTTGACACTAATGATCTAATTACCGTAATCTATTTGTTTTATTTTGCGTAGATTTTGAAAAGAAAGAGTAGCTACCGTAACCCAGGATACCGTAGGTTGCTGTAGCCTCGAGGAGGGGTAAAATACAATATCAGGAAAATCCAAAAATTAGCATGTTTCCTGCCTGGCCGGGGTGGATTCTAAATTTTGTAGAGTAATGTATCCTCGAGAATCTGTCGGCCAAATCGGAATGAGTAGTCTTTGGATTACCCTAGTTAATTTGCACTGTTTGCGTTCTAAAAATACGTAATGGTTACGGTAGTTGCCGGGTACTGTAGTTGTCAGACGGTAAAAAATCAAGTTCCGTCCGTGTCGGAATTAAGGTGTTTCAAGTAAGGGCGCGATGTTGCGAGAATTTTTCAAAATATTCGTTCGTTCGTTTCAAACAAAAATAAACGATCAATCGTTTCCAATAATTGACAAATATCGTGGAAGTAACCAGTAATATAATTATTTTCAGCACTTCTTTCTTTTTTGACTTTTGCCAAATTTTATAAAATTCGAATGAATATCGTAGCTGAGGATACTGTTTTGCCGAATTCCGGCATCCGGAAACGGCAAAAAAATGTTTCCTGTTTGGTGACGGTAGAACAAGAATTTTCGAAAACACTGAAACAATATTTTGGAACAAAAATTGTTCAATTTGTATTTACGCGACCATACACTTATTTTTTTTATAAAGCCATCGAATAAAACCTCGAGCACTACGGTAGCTGCCGGGTACTGTAGTTTCCAACATGGCTGGAATTGTTCGAAAACCCTTGTCGTTTCAAAAAAATGGAAAGGTTCCAGTGTCCAGGAGTACTGTAGTTCCCGGGATGGGTAAAATCAAGGTATCAAAAATTCCCAAGAAAAGTTAAAATGTTTCGTGTCGGTATTCGGTCATTAAAATTTTGCAGACATTATTTCGGGCTTGTTACTCTTGGTTTAGTCAATTTTTCCTTTAAAAAATCGAAGCTACGGTACAATCATATTTTTCTCTTTTTGTATAAAACTGATATTATTATAAAACTTATTTAATAATTCTTGTCACTTACCTTCAGTGGTTGCTCTATCGAAGGGTGAGTTTTAACTCTGAAAAATTGTATAGAAAATCCTCGTAAACATAACTTTTTGGGTTCCCCCTAATTTGCATAGCCCAAAAAATGTCCTAGAATCCGTTAAATATCATTTTTTGGGTTCGGCCCCTAATTTGCATACCATTTATTTTAGCGACCAGTGAAAACCGTGAGCTCACTGGTTTGTTTTGACGATTTTACGAGCACAAAGCACTTCGCAGCGCTTTCCAAAAAATGGCACTCTGTCCGAGACTGTACTATCTGAATTAGGTGGCCGGAAAGGGATTTGGGCATTAATAGGAGATGGCTTTAAGGTGCCGGCAAGGCGAGGATATCGGATTTGTTGGCTATGGATTCCCTAATTTTTCACCACCGCGACACGCTCCGCGCACGGCTTATGCGTTGCCTCTCGGCACAGAGCGCTAAATTTGGTGCCGCGACACGCGACGCACGCTCGCGCTTGTCCGTTGCGTAATTGGCTCCTGAGCGTGCGCGTTGTACGTCGCGGTTCGAGACTGGGAGCAGCGTGTTGCGAGTCGCGGACCTCTGGTGCTCGCGCGTAGCGTGATGCGGCTCTAGACCTAGTGCGCGTCGCGTGTCGCGTGCCCACTAGCGCGTTGCGTGTGGCGGGCCCATGCCACCGGCGCGTTGCTTGCCGCGGGCTAGGATGCTAGCGCGTCGCGTGTCGCGGATCCATGTCGCTGGCGCGTTGCGTTTCGCTGCTCTAGTCCGCTTGCGCGCCGCGTGTCTCGGTGCTAGGCTCACGGCAACGCGTTGAGTGCCGCGGTGCTGGGCGTAGAGCGCGTTGCGTGTCACGACCTAGGCCGAGTGCGCGTCGCGCTTCGTGGCTCGGCGATCTTAGCGCGTTGCGTGCCGCGGGCCTGAGCGGAGCGCGGGTTACGGGTCACCGGTCTGCGAAATCGGTAAACAATCCATGGCCAAAAATCTATTGCCATGCTTGCCTTGCTCGGCCTTTTAATGGACCCCTATTGATGCCTAACCGTCCATCGCCTTGCATGTCTATCGTTTCAAGCAGCTAGAATTTTTCTTTTCGGGTGGCTGGTCGGTTTTGGGGAGCATGAGAAAGAAGATATAGAGAGAAAGAGAGAAAGAGAGAAAGAGAGAGGGAGAGGGAGAGAGAGAGAGAGAGAGAGAGAGAGAGAGAGAGAGCGAGAAAGAGAGAGCGAGAGAGAGAAACTATACAAATTTTCAGCTGGCCCTGACTTCCGGCCATCGTCCTTCGGCGACCAGCTTGCTGTTGCGCTTCGGGTCGAAGGAGAACATCCCGCGCATGTACACCGCCAACAACCATTTGGCGGCGGATGAGCCCAGTAAGCTGGCAGAGACCATTTGAGAAATTATGACACCTCCATAGCTTCCAGGGGCAGCCTAGCAGGGACAATTTGAGGAACCAAATCCTTATCATTAATTCCTAGGAAGCGGCAGAAGCTCCCCATGCCCTCCCCTACTCTCCGTGCCCCAACTGAAGTCGCCGAGAATCTCCTTCGACATGACGGCCGACGAGGAGGAGATACGCCGGAGGAGTGCTGACGTCACGGAAGTACGTTTTAAAGGGACTGTGACAGCTGAAAAATACCTTTAGGTGACCCTGCCCGTCCCGCTGAACATCCATAAAAAGACGGTCGGGTCCAGGCTTCGGTGGCAGCCGCTGGAAAAGATACGGTAGGTTGTCCCAAGTGATCTCTGCTAGCCTGCCCTCTCCTCTTCCTCAACAATCTCTGCTAGCCTGCCCTCTCCTCTGCCTCCACAATCTCTGCTAGCCTGCCCTCTCCTCTTCCTCAACAATCTCTGCTAGCCTGCCCTCTCCTCTTCCTCAACAATTTCTGCTAGTTTGCCCTCTCCTCTTCCTCAACAATCTCTGCTAGCCTGCCCTCTCCTCTTCCTCAACAATCTCTGCTAGCCTGCCCTCTCCCTCTTCCTCAACAATCTCTGCTAGCCTGCCCCTCTCCTTTTCCTCAACAATCTCTGCTAGCCTGCCCTCTCCTCTTCCTCAACAATCTCTGCTAGCCTGCCCTCTCCTCTTCCTCAACAATTCTGCCCTAGCCTGCCAGCTCCTCTTCCTCAACAATCTCTGCTAGCCTGCCAGCTCCTCTTCCTCAACAATCTCTGCTAGCCTGCCCTCTCCTTTTCCTCAACAATCTCTGCTAGCCTGCCAGCTCCTCTTCCTCAACAATCTCTGCTAGCCTGCCAGCTCCTCTTCCTCAACAATCTCTGCTAGCCTGCCCTCTCCTCTTCCTCAACAATCTCTGCTAGCCTGCCAGCTCCTCTTCCTCAACAATCTCTGCTAGCCTGCCCTCTCCTCTTCCTCAACAATCTCTGCTAGCCTGCCCTCTCCTTTTCCTCAACAATCTCTGCTAGCCTGCCAGCTCCTCTTCCTCAACAATCTCTGCTAGCCTGCCCTCTCCTCTTCCTCCACAATCTCTGCTAGCCTGCCAGCTCCTCTTCCTCAACAATCTCTGCTAGCCTGCCCTCTCCTCTTCCTCAACAATCTCTGCTAGCCTGCCCTCTCCTCTTCCTCAACAATCTCTGCTAGCCTGCCAGCTCCTCTTCCTCAACAATCTCTGCTAGCCTGCCCTCTCCTCTTCCTCAACAATCTCTGCTAGCCTGCCCTCTCCTTTTCCTCAACAATCTCTGCTAGCCTGCCAGCTCCTCTTCCTCAACAATCTCTGCTAGCCTGCCAGCTCCTCTTCCTCAACAATCTCTGCTAGCCTGCCCTCTCCTCTTCCTCCACAATCTCTGCTAGCCTGCCAGCTCCTCTTCCTCAACAATCTCTGCTAGCCTGCCCTCTCCTCTTCCTCAACAATCTCTGCTAGCCTGCCCTCTCCTCTTCCTCAACAATCTCTGCTAGCCTGCCAGCTCCTCTTCCTCAACAATCTCTGCTAGCCTGCCCTCTCCTCTTCCTCAACAATCTCTGCTAGCCTGCCAGCTCCTCTTCCTCAACAATCTCTGCTAGCCTGCCAGCTCCTCTTCCTCAACAATCTCTGCTAGCCTGCCCTCTCCTCTTCCTCCACAATCTCTGCTAGCCTGCCAGCTCCTCTTCCTCAACAATCTCTGCTAGCCTGCCCTCTCCTCTTCCTCAACAATCTCTGCTAGCCTGCCCTCTCCTTTTCCTCAACAATCTCTGCTAGCCTGCCAGCTCCTCTTCCTCAACAATCTCTGCTAGCCTGCCAGCTCCTCTTCCTCAACAATCTCTGCTAGCCTGCCAGCTCCTCTTCCTCAACAATCTCTGCTAGCCTGCCAGCTCCTCTTCCTCAACAATCTCTGCTAGCCTGCCCTCTCCTCTTCCTCAACAATCTCTGCTAGCCTGCCAGCTCCTCTTCCTCAACAATCTCTGCTAGCCTGCCCTCTCCTCTTCCTCAACAATCTCTGCTAGCCTGCCCTCTCCTCTTCCTCCACAATCTCTGCTAGCCTGCTCGTTTCCAGGAGGCTGCTAGGCTCTCGCCACTCCGAAGATCCACCCCCAGCCGCCTCCAGCCGCCATTTCGAGACGAGTAGCGTGTATTGAACGGGAATTCCGTTCGACGACGGGTCACGCCAATAAACGATTTTAATTTGTACATTTTTGTCTGAAAACGACACATCAGATATCTACCATTAATGCACCGAGGCTTGGGGAAAATCAGGCAGACTGGCGGCGATTCTTTGCCAAGTCGGTGGAGAGAGGAGCGAAGGGAGTGGGGAGAAAATTGTCGACGTAAAAAGCCGACAAGGTGATCAATCAATACCTGGGGATCCAGTTTTTCCACTGCAATACTATGGGCACGGCCGAACGCTGGTAGTTTCGTTGCGCAATCGAAAGGGGGTCAAAAATTGATGGGGAAATTCTTGCTATAACAATTGGCCTAACAAGGCATACGTATGGTATTCCCCTTCAGGCAACTACGACCTGCTAACGGTTGCTCCCAATATTTTGTGCTCCAATTTTTGCAAGCGGTTTCTAAGCCGAATTCTTCGGGCTCCAAAATGAGCCCCTACTCCTCCGAGGAACCCCAAGAGATCGCTCGCAATTTTTTAGCGCTCCTGACTTGTCCTGTCTGCCAGCAGGCTTGTAGGTTTTTCGAGTAAAAATTGCCGGCCTGCCGACACGCATCATAAGCCTAAGCCAAGCCTAAGCCTCAGCCTAAGCCTAAGCTACGCCCATGCCTACGCCTAAGCTTAAACCAAGCCTAAGCCGAGGATCAGCTTGCACCTTGCTTTCAATAGCCCTTTAGACAGCCTCCTGCCCAGCCAAATCCCACGATTTCCGGTGCGATCCACGAAATTTGGAGTATGCTGTGCTGGCTGTGCCATCCAACGACACGCTCCGGTCATTCCGTTTCTACCGTACATAGGTACATAGGGCAAGCTAGCAGAGATTGTTGAAGAAGAGGAGAGGGCAGGCTAGCAGAGATTGTTGAGGAAGAGGAGAGGGCAGGCTAGCAGAGATTGTTGAGGAAGAGGAGAGGGCAGGCTAGCAGAGATTGTTGAGGAAGAGGAGAGGGCAGGCTAGCAGAGATTGTTGAGGAAGAGGAGAGGGCAGGCTAGCAGAGATTGTTGAGGAAGAGGAGAGGGCAGGCTAGCAGAGATTGTTGAGGAAGAGGAGAGGGCAGGCTAGCAGAGATTGTTGAGGAAGTGGAGAGGGCAGGCTAGCAGAGAACGTTGAGGAAGAGCGAAGTCGGCTTTTTCAACATTTTCTGCTAGTCGCCCATGGTTATTTTCCAGAAATCCTCGTGATCATCGGCCCTAAAATCGGGCAGCAAACGGTACTGGATTTTTTGTGTAAATTCACCCTGAAACGACTCGGCAAGCCAGATTTTCTGCGCTGTTCGAGGTGCGATTGTGAATGTGGGTTTTCTTTATTACATTTCTATAGAAAAAAATTGGGTTTTAGACAATTTGCACCTACTCCCACGGGTCTTCGAATGTGGCCATATGACTTGCGAGCCGTGTTTGTAGGTGTTAAAAATAATAAGAAAGAATGCAAGGTTTCAATCTCCGAAAAATTCCCCTTTTTTCAGATCAGCTTCAAGGCACTGTGAGGCTTGCCAGGTCGATATGGGCAATAGGATCTATGCGGGGGAGAAAATCAGGGGTACGCTAGGGTCCTCCCAAATAATCTCTGCTAGCCTGCCCTCTCCTCTTCCTCAACAATCTCTGCTAGCCTGCCCTCTCCTATTCCTCAACAATCTCTGCTAGCCTGCCCTCTCCTCTTCCTCAACAATCTCTGCTAGCCTGCCCTCTCCTCTTCCTCAACAATCTCTGCTAGCCTGCTTGAATTTCAGAGCTCATCTCCTCGCTCTTCAAGAATAAGACAAAGCTACGATCTCACTGCTCATCTACTGATCTCGCAAAACTTGAAACTCCAAATATCCCGCCTCTTTGGCCAATTCTTGCCCATTCTAGATGCCGGAATTGCGGAAATACGCGTAGGCCTCGAAACAAAACAATAATTTAAACATTATTAGTACAAAACACACCGGGGAGACGGCCGGTGCTCCTCAAAGAAACCGACGTATGCATCTGCGAATTTTGCGCCAAGAAGGAACGCCTCGATTACCTCCCACATCACGCCTTTTGTGGTGGGTTCCGCAAGTTGTCGCTGCTAGCCTACCCTGGGCTTAAAAAATCTAGTTTATTTAAATTCTCAATAAATGAATTTATTTAGAATGCCTGGACGCGATTTTCCCGGCCGGTGGAAGTCCAAAAAATGCCAAACCTTTTCCGGAATGCCCGGTTTGTCTGGAAAACTGTACGTTTAATCAGGTCGGCAAAAGGGCAGGCTAGCAGAGACAATTTGCTGATTTAGGTGAATTTAAGTGTTTTACAGTCAGCTCTACGCATCTACCGTACACCCTAGCGTGTGGCCACGCGATTTGCGGGTCGTGTTTTACGAAAACCTCGCCAAAATCGTGCCCGATTTGCCAGCAGCCGGCTGCGCGAAAAATGCTTGCAGGCCTACAGTTTTCTGGTAATTTTCGTCGTATTTCACTGAATTTGGTGATTTTTAGAATTTATTCGCAGTGCGAACGGGCTTCGAATTGAAGAGCGAAATGGGGACACTGATAAATTGCCAGTAAACGAGGTTAAGAGGACTTTACACATTTGCATTTTAAACACCGCTTTGTAAAAATTGCATCGTCCGTTGTTTCAATGCCAAACTTTATATAATTCATTTGCGAAAATTCTTATTTTTCGCAATTTCTATAGTTTTTTCGCTAAAACTACATTTGGACTGCACCGTAACGTGACTAAAATGATGAATTTGCCATTCAGAATAAGATTCCCTAACTTTTAAAGGCCAATCCCGCTTCGAAACATCAAGAAAAAACTTATTTTACTTTTTTTTGAAAATTGTTGACACTTTTGAAAAACCTGAGAACCTGCGTTTTCTACTAGACGAAAATAACAAGTATTAACCTTCATTATATACAAAAATATGTAAGTTATTGTAATAATAATTTAAAGACATTTGAAACCTAACAAAAGCATCATATAGAAGCCCACCCCCTACGATCTACACCAATTCACGCGCGCCACCCTCGACTGTTACGCCGAAATCACCCCGACGCTTGTCGCCCAGGTCCAAAATGCTGTGGCGGAGTTGGCAAAGGTTTCTATTATTTTTTTGAGCTAAAACCAGACGTTTTCAGAAGTTTGAAACTTGCTGCAAACGTCTAAACACTAATGATCTCGATCTGGGTTTCGTAAAAGCCTTCCCCACCCTCCAGCAAGCCACCATGGATTTTGAGACGATCTCCGAGAATTTTATCCCGGCCGCCCGGCAATATGTCACAGGGATACAGGTAATTAAATAGAAACACAATAATACAGAAAGTCGTTTAGGCAAAGTTACAAATTTAGAAGCTACATGAAATCCTGGACTCGATAAGCAACGATCTCGAAAACCCAACGAAAAGATGATAAACAAGAACCTGCAGCTGCGCAGGCTCTTCTAATTGAATAAATTTCATCTGTTTAATAAAGAATTCGTGTAGAAATAGCAAAATTTTGGCCAAAATCGGCCATTTTTGGTGGAAAAATCTATATTTTTTGTACTGGTTAATAAAAATTTGTAAATTCTTTCAGTCCAAGAATAGTAAAACACCATTTAGAAACACTCCCGCTATTTAGATTTAAAAAAATCATCCTAAAGATCACAAAAATGTCCCCCGCTAACAGTCGAGACCGACCCGGTCGTAACGCGACCACGACGCATCGCTGTTCTAGACCACGAAGCTCGAAAACGCTCTAAATTTACAAACGCTCAGGGTCGACATTTCCAAGTTACCAACCCCTCCGACTCCTTTCCGGGGGTGCTCCGGTCAAAGCGGCTTACCAAAGCCGACCCCCGGCTGGCGAGAGTGCAGAGAGCATGGGCGATGTTTGTCTGTGTGTGTCATCGGACAGAGAGACAGACACGCAGCGCTCCTTCACCGCCCGAGCCTGTGTCTTTCTGAATATCAACCGTCTTCCCCCGGTTGGCCTTGTATCGATTTGTGCAACTAGTCTAACAACAACCATCTTTTTTAGTTAGCTTCTAAATTGTCTGTTGAGGACTGGTCGAATTAAAGCAGATTTTCTGGCATCTTTGCATACGAAACCCTGAAACTTATCTTTCAAACAGCTTTTACTTATCTGTAAAGGTTTTAGCTACTTTTTCTTACGATTTTTACGGTATTACAAGCGTATTTTGCCAGCTCGCCTTTCTAATGCGATTTTGCGAGTTCTTTGTACGAATGACTCACGCTAAAATCCTTCCAAAAAGTTCTTATTTTTACCGGAAAATCGTTCAAAACGGCGTCTTACCTACCAGATGCTTTCGAGGAGATTTTCACGCTTTGCTTGACTTTTGAATGACAGTCACATTATAGTGCTTATTTAGAAAGTATTTTTATCAAAGGAGCGCGCTAGAATTTGGGAAAAATGATACTTGGATTAGGAAATCGAGAAATCGTCTGTTTCTAAAAAATGTCCTATCGTTTTTAGAGAGTTCAGGCTTAATTTAACTTTCTTTTCTTGTTATTTTTAGCGTTACGAGCTTTCTATTCCCCTTTTTCAGATGGCCGACCCGAAGCGGCGTTCAGTGCAAAGCTGGCAGCTGGCCGTTGGCCCGATCACATGCCACGCGTGGAATAAAGATCGCTCTCGTAAGTTTTCTTGATTTTTCTCCTCAAAACCCCATCTCAGAACTGGCTGTGGCTTCCTCGGGCGGCAACGACATCCACATATTCGAGTTTGTCAAGGGCGCCTGGACGAATACACACTTGCTAAAGGTTTTTGGTGTTATTATATGAATTTATGTTTCTGTAGGGCCACGATTTGCCGGTCACGGGCCTCGACTGGGCAGCAAATACAAATCGCATCGTGTCGGCTTCCCAGGACAAGAACGCCTTCGTGTGGACGTTCAGCGGGAAGGAGTGGAGCCCAAAGCTGGTCTTGGTACGTTTTCAGGCCTCTGCGACGTTATGGTTGACTCCTATTCTTGTTCTTTAGTACCAGGGCTTCCCGGTTTAGGGTCTCTTTGTTTAGCCTAGAACTCTAGTGTATATCTTGACATTTTGAGTATTTTCTAACACATAAAAACTCTAAGTACATGTAGATAACGTGCCCCAAATTCTTTTCTGTTCTCTTCCGTTTTCAGGTCCTTTTTTATTGAATTCGCTCATAAAGCAAACAGTGTTAACTCTTTCCTCGTGTTTTGATCAGAAATAAAAACGTATACAGTTTTATAAAGATTTCGTGATCATAGCAACCGCTAAAAACAGCCTAATTCTGTTGATTTTTGAATGCGCCCACTGTTTATACTTTATATTTATTTTCGGAATTCTACGATTTTACAAATTTCCAGGTCCGCCTAAACCGAGCGGCAACATGCGTCAAATGGTCGCCTCAGGAGAACAAGTTTGCCGTCGGCAGCGGCCAGCGCCGGATCTCCGTCTGCTACTACGAGCAGGAAAATGATTGGTGCGAAGAAAATTTTTATTTTTACAACCATTTTCCAGGTGGATCTCGAAGCAAATCAAGAAGCCAATCCAGTCGACCGTAAAATGCATTGACTGGCACCCAAATAACATTCTGCTCGCCGTCGGGGCGTGCGACTTCTATGCGCGCGTCTTCTCGGCATATGTCAAGGAGGTTCGTTGAAACTGCCTAAAGCGGAATTTGAAGAACAAAAACAATTTTGATAGTTTTCTTTCTTACATTTTTGCGAAACGTATTAATTTCTGACTCTTTTCCGATGAAAGGCTTTTGTAAGAGTTACTTTTTCGTTTTTCGTTTTTTTTTAGACTGTAGACCGAATTTTTGATAAATTTGTCCATCTTTTAGGTGGACGAGAAGCCGCTGCCGAACCCTTGGGGTTCCAAGATGCCGTTCGGATCACTGATGACCCAGTACAAGACGCAGGGCTGGGTCCACCACGTCGCCTTCTCGCCCTCTGGCTGCCGTCTCGCGTGGGTGTGCCACGATGCGACCGTCGGGCTCGTTGATGCGAATGTCAGTAATTTTTATGACGGAAACCGCTCCTTTGAATAGAATTTTTATTTCCTTTTTATCGATCACTTTTATCCTTTTTTTGCTTATAATTCACGTAGGTTCTTTCGCATTATCCGGGGGAACTTACTTTTGTCTTAGAAACCAATTTTTATATCAATGGCAGAAGTGCTTCTAAACTGTTTTTAATATTCTTTTCTGAACTGTTTTTAGTATTCTGGATGTAAAAATGTTACAAATTGTTATTAAAAAAATAGCGACATTAGGTCGCAAAAAATTTGCGACTAAAAAGGCCGTTTTTTGATCAAAATTTCGACTTTTTGAAAAAGTTTTGTTGAAAGTTGAAAATGTATCAAAGTTTTTGGATAGTTTTTCTTGTTAAAATGTAGTGTTTTTTTAATAAAAACCTTATGAAATGACTGCCTATTAAGTTGCTAGGCATTTCTAGATTAAGACAAAAAAATTTGGGTCTCCCCTCCCCGATAATACGAAAGAGCCTCCCGGGAATCTCCAAATTCTTGCTCCGCTTTTCCCCCAAGCGCGACAAGAGCAGGTGATAGATCATTTTTGGAATCCAGGCTGCTTTACGCCGCTAGAAATTACGTTTTTTACACTAATTATCCCACACACGACGTTTACCGGCTATCCGCTCTGCCCTCGAGGGCAAAAAGAACCGGCCATTGTGGTGTAATCCCGGACGGCCATCTTTGCTTGCGCGATAAAAGGCGCCGGATCGATGGCCCGCGTGTGAATGTGCTCACGCGAGCACACTCACTCCACCATCTGTTTCGAAAAGCGGAAACATTTGTATTACGAGATTTTTCCCGTTCCAGATCGACAGCAATGCCTCGCACACACTGCGCACTCGGGCCTGCCCTACACCTCGATCACCTGGGTCTCCGAGAATAGCTGTGTGGCGGCGGTAATTTTAACTTTGAAGCTTTTGTTAGGTTCATCGGGGAGAGACAATTTTTTTGTATAACTTAGAAATTTCGAAAGGAAAAGAAGGAATAAAGGAAAATTTTTGGTCTTGAAATCCATATTTTTGCATTTTTCTAGAAAGATTTGTTGTAAAGTTCTTACGTTTGGAATAGAAAAAAAAACAGTTAAAAAACGCTTCCGCGTTTATATTTGAAAAATTTAAGATCCTAAAATATTTTGTTTTGAAAAAAAATTGAGTTTCTGTTTTTCGAGATGTTTTAAGTTTTCGATTGTTTTTTTTTTCAGGGCCACGATTACTGCTCGGTGCTGTTGACGGTCCAAAATGGGCAGCTCGTCCATGTTTGCAAGCTCGATGTGCCGCCGATCCAAAAAGTAGGCTTACCGCGCCTTTCAGCACTTGTTTTTTAGGAAACTGGCATCAGCAGCGCGCTCGCCATGTTCAAGTCGATCGACAAGAAATCGGACAACGAGGCCCGCGTCGACACGTTGCCCACCTTGCACCAGAATGTGATAACGTTCGTTTTGAAAGTATATTTTTATCGGGGTTTTTTTAGTGGCATCCAGGCACACTCTGGCAACGCACAGAACATCCTCAAGTTCTCGACGTGCGGCCTCGACGGGCTCGTTGCACTTTGGGACCTGAAGGTATACTTTTCTGAAACGTCGAAACAACTGGCTACTACTGCGCAATTGATTTTTAAAGCCCTGAACACAGCGCCCCCAATTTTCCAGGAAACGATTGAATACGTCCGAACAAGGGTCAGATGTTTGGCCTAAATAAGAGAATACTCAATATACTGCATGCCCTGATAGTCTATAACTCGATTGAACGTTGAGTGATCTAAAAGCAAGAGAAAAATCTCAAAACTTGCGAGCATGCCCTAAAAAAAGATTTGGATGATTTTTTGCAAAACTGAAAGAGTTGTTCTTTCGCAGCATCGGCCGGGAAAATCAGAATTTTTGATGGTTTCCAGATCTAAACAGAAACGTGTAATGCAATTTTATTGCACTGTTTTTCAATGATTTAGTCGAATTTATGATTTCTTCACTTCGAATATGGCTAAAATTAATCATGAACTTTCAGGAAATGCTTATTTCTTTGTTAGGCTAATCTGGCTTTATAAAAAACATCTAAAAACTTTTGAATCGACTAAAAGAAAATTAAATTTACGAATTTTATAACTAGCTAGAAACTTTAAAAATTTTGGTGGAAAATCAATATTTTTTGAGGGTTATGAATAAGGTTTTGTATAGTTTTCGCGTTTAGGAATAGCGAAAAAATGTTCTGAAAAGTTCTGCTTTCCCCGACGATAATGCGAAAGCACCCAAAAAAATACGTTAATACTGCTGCAGTTTGAGATTAACCGACCCCCGTTTTGACATCCCAAATTGATGGCGTATTTTCAGGAGGTGGCCGTCAAGTAACACGCTGCATCCCCGCGATCCACCGGCAGAACATTCAGTTTTTTTTGAGCTTTTCCCTCCCTCCTACCATTAATGTGCAACTTGTCAGCTTGTGCCCCCCGGAATTTATCGATTTCACTCAATTTTGGCCAAATTTTTTGTGCTGCCTTTTCTCTTGTGTGTGTATGTTGTTGTGCCTTCATTCCATCGGCAGCAGAATAATTTATTCCGCATCCTCCCGCGCGCTCATTCTGCTGCTCGCCCTCAGCTTGTGTTCTCTCTCTCTCGCCCTAAAAATCTCTCTAGCTTTACGCCGTGTATATGAGAATAAAACGATTGCTCTATAGGGTTTTTGGTGTTTTTTTTAGGCCTTTTTATGGGCTAAATACTTTTATTTATTTTCTGATTTTGTGTTTGACGTGAAACACTTTTTAGACGATGGCTGAGAACAATAGGGATATGCGCCGTCTGGAGCGCCTGGTCCAGTGCCGCTTCTGCCAGATTCGCTGTGGGTTTTGCGGATTTGGTACTTGAAATATCGGGGCGTGGGGGGGGAGCATTTTACAAAAAACTGACTTTAACAAGTTTTTCCTAATTCCTAGGGCCCAATTTTGTCGTTTTTTAAAACCATTTCTAAACATGAAAACTACACGTTTTTTTTGTACCTTCTAAACAGTACGATTTCCGGCGAAAAATGGCCGGTTTTTGACCAAAGTTTGAGGCCTTTCAGCATTTTTTTGAAACTTTTCGATAGTTCTGACTTCATTGCGAGTAAATTTTGACAAGACACTTAAAAGGCTTGCTATTTCCGCTTTCGCAACTAGGGCTTATAAGGGGGAAAATCGTTGCCGACCTAATTTGCATTGTTCAGTCACCCCCGACGGCGCTTCTCGCCCATTCATCGTCAACGGACGCCCGATATGCCAGACGTGCATGAACCGACGCAACGAGAGGGTGCTACCACCACCGGTGTGTTTTTATCTTCTAAAAAATCCAGAATCCTTGTAATGCTATTAAAAAATATTTAAAAACGTTTAAATTCCATGACGCTGATTTTCTGCTGATTTTCATTGGCTTGATCCCGACTATGCCGATTTTTTTAATATACCGGCAAAGGTATCGGCGTAATAAATTGGGATAGTGAAGATAGGAAGAATCAAAACTCGGAAAAGTCATCAGTATAAGTGAAATCAGCAAGAATTTACCTTTTTTTCAGCCAGCTCAACATCAGGTCCCGCCACGTCCGGATCGCTTCGGCGTTTGGCCGGGCGCCCAGGAAATGCTCGAACGCCTGCAGGACGTCGATAACGACCTGGCGCGCCTCGACGACTTCTTTGGACCGCATGCCGGCGCGCACCAAAACGCCAATGCACAGCCGCGCAACGTGCCCTTTTACGCGTTGATTGGTAGGGTTTTTGGTCGTAATAGAAAATTCCGTCGATTAAAAATTTTGACAGATAAAGAAACGCCCAAATCAAATATTGTAGATCAACTTTCACCGGATTTCTCGATTGCCTATTCGTAAATTCTTTCCTGTTTCTATTCAAAAATTAAATTTTCGAAAATTGTGCGAAGAGCATCTGTTCGAGATTTCCATTATCTTTGCCTGTCTCTCCTTTATTTTCTAGACGTTGCCGCTTTTCAATTTCTCCTTTTTCAGCGGTGCTTGAACTGCTCGGCAAGGACGGCAAAGACTGGGCCTTCTTCAGCCGCCCACAATTCGAGGAACGCGTGCGCAACAACACCAACCCGCTCGAGTGCCCGCTTTGTATGATCCAATGTGAGCAATTCGTTTTGAAATATCATTTTTCTTAGTCACCATCCCGGCGCGTACCGTCGTACTGGAGTGTGGCCACGCTGTCTGCATGACGTGCTGCCCAAGGGTGAGTTTTTCAGGGTTTTTTTTATAGAAAGCGAGGATTTTCCTAGCGTTTTGGTAATTTATTTTCAAAGTCAATAGGAAATTCGGTTAGAAAATTGTCGTCGAAAGATCGAAAATTCACCGTTACTGTTCAAAGAAAAACGAATATTTTTGGCCCTTGTGCAAATTGCTTTTTTTGTTAGATTTTTAGATTCTTTTGCATTATTGGGGGGAGGGGCAGCCGAGCTTTTATTATTAGTCTAGGAACGTCTAATAACGTCATTAGTGGTGTTTTAATAGGGCTTTTAGTAAAATTTAGCTATATTCCAGGTGGGACTACTGTTCGTAAAATTATTTGTATCTTTTTGTATTTTTTTAACTCGATCTGTATAGTTTTAGGGTTAGCAATGGGAACAGACGATTTAAGTACAATTCCTCTAGCTTTATTTGGAAAATTGGAACCTCAGGATAAAAAGTTGGTGAATAAAAAAAGACAAAAAAAACTGTTCCAACTCTCCTTTCAGATGTCTCACTGCGTCACGTGCAACGAAGAGGTCCGCCGTCGAACCCCTGCCGCGCCGTACCGTTACATGCCGTTTCCGCATCCTCGTTATGGCCCCGTCGGCGGTCGCTACCATCGCCCGCAGATGCTCATCCAGCCGCTGACCGGACGTGCCGCTTGGGACGAGCTGAACGGCTTCGGGGCTGGCATGGGCTTCGGCGGCGCCGGGGAGCCGTACAGACTACCACCACCAGCTGCGGCGCAGCCGGCAAACGCCGCCGGCGCTGCACAACAGCCCGCGCCCGGCGGAAACCCGTACGATGAGCTGAACAAGCGCGTCCAGCCGCAACGTATCCAGCAACACTATCAGGGTACGTTTTTCTGAGCCTGATTTTGTAACTCGGTTTCCGTTCTAGAGCTCATCGGTATCCTGCTCGAACTCCGTGGGGCACGCGTCCCTGCACCGGCTGCTGCTGCTGAACCCGTCGCCACCCGGAAGTGCGTTTGTGGTCCTTTAGCAAAATCGAGGGAGCCTATTTGGTGATAGCAAGTATTTTAGTAGACTTTTAGATAAATTGAGGTATATTTGAAAAGAAAAACCTGCTAGAAAACCTCGGAAATATTAAAAAAATTTGAATTTTAGCGGGAACCGTGTTTTTTACTCTTATTCGAGTTTTGTCAAGCTTTTATTTTATTTTTAGCTATGTTTTAAATCAAAATCTATCTAGAAAATATTTTGGGAATTGAATTTTTATCTAAAACCATGTTTTGTACTAGTAATCAAATATATTGGCAAGCTTTTATCGTGAAAATAGGAAAATACGGTATGCAAACATTTCCGCCAAGTATATGAGAAAAGGTGAAAACCTAGCCAAAAAGTGTGGTCCACTTCCGATTCTGCGAAAGAAAAACACATAGTTTTTCGCGCGGTTTTGGAAAGCTCTAAAATCTCGTTTTAATTTTTATTGACTTTCTTTTTTTGCAGCGTGTCGATCAAGACCGAGCCCATCGACGAGGAAGAGGCGCAGGCGAAGCCCGTGGCCTCGGGCTCGGGCTCACGCCGTCGCCGTGGCATTTATGCCTTCGGCACGAAACGTCGCCGAACCGAGAATCTGCCGCAACCCGGCTCGAGCCGCCAGCCGACCGCCACCGTGGCCCCGATCAACCCCGTGCAGGCGGCACCGCCGCCGAAGAAGCCGAAGCAGGTCGAGGTGGTCGACATCAACGACGACGAGGACGACGTGCCGATGCCGGTTGGGGATGATGTAGGCACTTATCTGGTTCAAAGAATAAGTTGCTTTCAGAAGGTGGAAAATCAGAATGCCTAAATTCATGTCTAACCCAGAATGCATAAATTTCAGAATATCGAAATTTCACGTAGCAAACGTGGATTAGTATTGGCACGAATAAAATATAGCCATTCCGAAGTTTATACATTCTGAGATTTAGGCGTTTTTGAAATTTAGACATTCTGAATTTTATTCATTTTGTCTTTAGGCATCCAGAAATTTTGGCATTCTGATTTTATACATTCTGAATTGAAGCATTTTATGCATTTTGATGTCAATTCGTTTTTCAGATCATAGTCCAGGACGCCGAAGACGTGCTAGAGATTCTGGTGGACGTGATTCAGTGTGGAGAATGCCCGCGAAAGGTCCGATCCACTACCAGAGATCCAAATGTCGTTTTCAGTGCGATCCAAGTGACGTGTACGTGTGCGTGACGTGCGGCGAGCTCGACCTGTGCAGCCTGTGCATGTTCCGAAAGCACCAGAAGCTCCAGCACATGCTCCACGAGTACAACCAGGTCAAGGTGGGTGGTTTTAGGATGTCGCTACCTCTTTTTGCTATGGCTACAAAATTTTTTTTCAGCTGATGCGCGACATTGACAGCGCGCGCGAGCGCACCAAGACCCAGTACAACACCTACAACGACCTGATGCCGGCCATGATGCGCACCGTGCAGCAGAGCCTCGGCAAGCTGGAAGATGTGAGTTTGTTGGCGTTTTGCGATTTATCCCAAAAAATGATTCCAGGGGAAAAGTTTCGTAAATTGTTGCTTTACGTTTTTTTACGTTCTCGCTTGAGATTTTTGGGAAACTTGTTTCATTTTCGAGCAAAATTGCAGTTATTTTATTTTCACATATTTTTGCTTTTTAGTCATTCGACTGGACGCTGGCCTGCGTCAACCAGTCCAAGACGCACGAGGAGGCCATGGAGCTGCTGCAGTTTTCACGCCGTCTCGGCAACGACCTCGAGAAGTACAGCGAGGAATTCATGCCGCAGGCCCGTCGCTATGTGGCCCGGATCAATGTGAGTGTTTTTTTTTTAAATTGGAAACTTAAAAAGGATCTGATTTTCGAGAAATTGTTTTCCGCAAACTTGAATTTTGAATAATGCCTTTCAACAAATTGTTTTCGGAAAAAAGATTTGGAAATTGAGCGAGCGACACCTAAATACACGATTTTAGGAACTTCTCGCCCGCACCTCCACCAAGTACCCAAAGCCGGCCGAAGACGAGGAGGGCCCCGCCGAGGAGACGGCCGAGGTGATGAACAGCGGCGACGACCTCGAGGAGATCGACCCGCCGGGCCCGTCGGGCGTCACGGCCACGTGCAAGCTGCTGCCGCCGCTCGTCGACTGATTTGGGCATCCGGCAATCAGCATAACATATTCTTCGGTACTGGGCCTTTAGCGGGGGAGGAAACTTAACACCGTCTCTAGGTTTAAAAATTCATATAAATCGAAAAATTTTTTGGCCAAAAATTAATGAAACTTGAAAAATCAGAATTTTCAAAATGCATTTTGAAAATGCCTTAAAATTGTTTTTATGGATTTTTTGGTACTAAATTATTCAAAAAAAAACACCAGAAATGGCTCAAATTTTTGCTAGTTAGGCATAGCCTAGGTTCACCCCCCCATCGCTAATAGCCCAGTTCCAAGTACCACGCGTTCTAGCCAGCCTTGTGATATTTATACCAGTTGTCTCATTTGTCGTTCTCATTCTCCCCATGTTTTAGCCATCGACGTGTTGTTGTAGAAGATTTTGGATTTAGAAGTCGTTTGAGCCTGTCTGGCTGACTTCCCGGTCCCTTTAGTTTTGACCCCCGTACCCTCGTATTTATGATCTACGCCAACGGCCCCGCTGTCTCGATCTATTTCCATGATGTGTTCAATTGTTGCCGATCGGGTTAATATAGTCTCTCTCGCTCCATCCCTCGTTCGAAACCGTTTGTAAAACAACCACACACACCCACGCATTAATATTTGTACGGCCCAATATACCTAAAAACACAGCGTGTCCTCCGCTTAATCGATTACGAAGTTATCCATCCATATGTAAATGTGTGTGTTCTTTCGGGACTTCGAGCCGGGCAGTAAATGTTGTTTTTGAATACGTGTTCCGCTTACAACGATAGGCGACAATAAACAAGAACACCACACTGAAAAGGCAGCCTAGCAGAGATGTTTGGGGAAGATAAGGCTCAAATCGCTTGGCAAATTGTCTCTGCTAGCCTGCCCTGGGACTCTGGAGGGGTCCAAATTGCTCAAAGTGTATTCAAATCGTTCACTCGTTCCTGATTGAATTTCCTGAGGAGGCGCCACGATTCCTCAAATTTCTCTGCTAGCCTGCCCCTCTGAACTTGTTTACCACCATCATCCCATGACCGGCAAAACGGGTGTGCGCTGTTTTTCCGCACCCCGGGCACCCCATAAATCGATGATGGGCCTGAAATAGTCTGGCCAAGTGGGAGAGAGAGGGAGTGAGCGAGAGAGTGCGAGAGGGAGAAGAAGCCGACAGACAGACAAACAGCATGCCCCGAGAAATGCGTACAGGATCCCCCACTTGCCCCCTACCAGCATCCCGGCATTCGCACCCGGCTGGCCCGGGTGCCCCTTTCGGCGCGTTTTTGCCATTTTAAGGGTCTGGGTTTGGTAGGGTTCTCGAAGAATCTCTGCTAGCTTGCCCTGGCTAGCGTTTTGAGCCAGGCGAATAGTGTATTTTTAAAGGTACTGGCAAATGAGAGGAGAGGGCAGGCTAGCAGAGATTGTTGAGGAAGAGGAGAGGGCAGGCTAGCAGAGATGTTGAGGAAGAGGAGAGGCAGGCTAGCCGAGAGTTGAGGAAGAGGAGAGGGAGGCAGCAGGATGTTGAGGAAGAGGAGAGGGGCAGGCAGGCAGAATTGTTGAGGAAGAGCGAGGGCAGGCAGAGAGAGTTGAGGAAGAGAGAGGGCAGGCAGAGTGTTGAGGAAGGCAGAGGGCAGGCAGGGGTTGAGGAAGAGGAGAGGGCAGGCTAGCAGCGATTCTTGAGGCAGCCAGGGGTTAGTGCAATGTTTTTCCGCAGCCCCGCCCAAATGTTTTCATTCGCGACTATCATTGCACGGATCGGTCGTGTCGTTGGGCCTAGACGATGACTAATAGCTGCACCTCCTTCTGCTCCGCCTCCCCAACCCGGTCTGTAGGAATCATCTATTGCGGCCATTTTCTGGTGTAAGAAAAGTTACCGCGCTGTATCCCAGCCACAGTTTGAATTGCAAAACGGTGCCGTTCTGCGTCCGGTTTTATCAATTCTCTCTCTCTCTCTCTCTCTCTCTCTCTCTTGTTATCTTTCACCGCCCTAAATTTAGATAGTAGATTACCGGAAATGAGGGTCGGTCTCCGGGGGTGTTGCTATAGTACCGTACCCTACTAGTGACGGCAATTATCCCGGAACTCATATTTTCTTGCCGATTACTGTGAAACTTGGACCATTTTCAGGCCACATTTTCCAAGTTAAAAACCGTCAACAGTACCGCATCGGAATGGCTGAAGCCGCAAAGGAGCAGGTAATATTGCCGATTTTCTCTCTGAAGCTCTGCAAGTCTTGCAATTCCTGAATAATCTCTGCTGACCTGCCCCTCCCCTTCCTCAACAATCTCTGCTAGCCTTCCCTTTCAGATTTTCCACGAGCCCGACGAAAAGGTTACGATATCCGGAGCGTTGGATTTGGGTTCGTTGGATGAGATCGACGAACTGGAGTTTGAGGTAAAGCACCTTGAGAGAGAAAGAGACAGAGCGAGAGAGAAAGAGAGAGAGGGAGAGACAGAGAGAGACAGAGAGATACGTTTTTAAGGAAGAACTAATGGACACCGACACCGACAGCGAGCCGGACATCGACGGGCTCGAGGAGGACATGCTTGGCGACCATCCGGCCCGGTACCAACAGATGACATGTCCGGGTTGCTTTGATGAGGTTTGTAGCAGCTTTCACTCTCAGGAAATCCGGCTGGCAGGTACGAAATTGTCGGATGCACTTTTGCGTCGGCTGTTCTCGCGTGGTAAGTTTTTGGTGGGTGAGAGAGAAAGCGAGAGAGAGAGAGAGAGAGAGAGAGAGAGAGGGCGAGAGGGAAAGAGAGGAAGATGGAGCTCCCTGTTTTTTCAGCACTGCCGCGAATGTACGAACCTATATCACAAGCCCCTCGGCCATCTTACATTTCTAGTGCTGCTCGACCAGGTATGCTAGCAGAGGCAATTTAAGGAATCTCAGGCCATTCCGTTACTTGAAAATTGCAGAAATACATCAGCTACCTGAAGAAGGTTGTGGATGAACGACTAGCCGCCGAGGCCGAGCGACCCGGCCCATCTCGTGCCATTGCCACAACGCGAGTGCTGCCCCCGGACGGCTCGCCATCGTGGATGTTCGACAAGTTTAGGCCTTGGAAATGAATATATGTCTCTTTTTCTCACTCTCTTTCTCTCACTTTCGCTCTCTCTCTCGCTCTCTCTCTCTCTCTGGTTCTCGCTCTCTTTCACATTCACTGTCTCTCTCCCTCAAATGATGATCTCTCGCTCAGCCTCCGATTAGCCGGTCAGTCAGCTCCCGTTCATTCCACAATTTTTCTTCGTAATGCACTTTGCACAGAATTTTCTCAAAATGACGATAAACCGTGCCGAAAAAAGCAGCCCAAAATACCTAAATCTAAGCCTAAGCCTAACTTCAAGTCGCTCTAGCTTTGCGTAGGAAGATGCTATAGCAATGAAACGTAGTGGGCTTGACAGAGCTTGAAAAGGGCTACAAAACCGAATCATAACCCAACTATGCCCAGGCGATTCGTATGTAAGCCTAACAAGGAGATGGTCTCACATGTCAGCTCGGAATCGAATTCGGATTTGAAAATTTGCCCACTTATAGAGGTCGACGAGACAAATCGATTGGTGTAACTTTCAGCTGCTGATACAATAACCACGCCGAGTTATAAGCATTTTAAGTTTTTGCATGCATTTTGCATTATTTCGGCCATAGCTTCATAGGCCTTCCCCGCCTCCCCATCACCATGGTCTGGTGGCCTAGTGGTGTAGTAGGCGTCCTCCGGGGAATCTAACGAGGGTTACCCGCTCACGATTTTTATTTTTTACTTTTTTGTCCGAAGGTTCCTCTTTGCTTTTTGAAGACCTTGAATAGCTTTTTACGCATTATTTTAATTCCACTGATGCGCCGACAACATCGAACTTCACCGCAAAAATATTTCTTGCCGGGCATCGAGCCCTTGTCCGACCTATGACTACCATTTCCAAAAAATTTTCGCGGATGAAAGTTTTTGTTCGGATAACACACCATTTACCAAATTTACGTTTACTCCACGATTTTTGATATGCTTTGAATCTTCAATTTATTTTTGGACCGGCATAGTCATTTGGGGTAAAAAAATCTAAATTTTTTCAAAGAGATGTTTTTTAGCCATTTCGCACCAGAGGAGTTAAAATAATGCGTAAAAAGCTATGCAAGGTCCTCAGAAAGCAAAGAGGAACCTTCGGTCAAAAAAACAATAAAAAAAATCGTGAGCGGGTTCGAACCCTCGTTAGATTCCCCGGAGGACGCCTACTACACCACTAGGCCACCAGACCATGGTGATGGGGAGGCGGGGAAGGCCTATGAAGCTATGGCCGAAATAATGCAAAATGCATGCAAAAACTTAAAATGCTTATAACTCGGTGTGGTTATTGTATCAGCAGCTGAAAGTTACACCAATCGATTTGTCTCGTCGAGCTCAATAAGAGTGCAAATTTTCAAATCCGAATTCGATTCCCAGCTGAGACCATCTCCTTGTAAGCCTAAGCATAGCGGCTTAGAGTTTTTATTATTGAATTTCTCAGAATTCTCGGCAGTGCATCGGCTTTATTAGTGTCATTCGGGGGCGCGGAAAGACAATGATGACAAGATGAATGCATAAAAGATGTTGCATACAGTAGGCATAAACAGTAGTCATGGTACCAAGCGCTATCATTAGTGCATGGCCGAACGCCTCCGTGTCGCGCGCAGGTATGTGACGAAGGAGTGATTGCGGCCGGGACATGGGCAGTAGTGAGCATCGGCGCCAGGGTAGCCGGTCTGAAATTTATGTGGAATCCGCACGGATCCTTGCTAAATAGGCTGCCCTCTCCTCTTCCTCAACAATCTCTGCTAGCCTGCCCTCTCCTCTTCCTCAACAATCTCTGCTAGCCTGCCCTCTCCTCTTCCTCAACAATCTCTGCTAGCCTGCCCTCTCCTCTTCCTCAACAATCTCTGCTAGCCTGCCCTCTCCTCTTCTTCAACAATCTCTGCTAGCCTGCCCTCTCCTCTTCCTCAACAATCTCTGCTAGCCTGCCCTCTCCTCTTCCTCAACAATCCCTGCTAGCCTGCCCTCCTCTCTTCCCTCAACAATCTCTGCTAGCCTGCCCTCTCCTCTTCCTCAACAATCTCTGCTAGCCTGCCCCTCTCCTCTTCCTCAACAATCTCTGCTAGCCTGCCCTCTCCTCTTCCTCAACAATCTCTGCTAGCCTGCCTCTCCTCTTCTTCAACAACTCTGCTAGCCTGCCCTCTCCTCTTCCTCAACAATCTCTGCTAGCCTGCCCTCTCCTGTTCCTCAACAATCTCTGCTAGCCTGCCCTCTCCTCTTCCTCAACAACCTCTGCTAGCCTGCCCTCTCCTCTTCCTCAACAATCTCTGCTAGCCTGCCCTCTCCTCTTCCTCAACAATCTCTGCTAGCCTGCCCTCTCTCTTCCTCAACAATCTCTGCCTAGCCCTGCCCCTCTCCTCTTCCTCAACAATCTCTGCTAGCCTGCCCTCTCCTCTTCCTCAACAATCTCTGCTAGCCGGCCCTCTCCTCTTCCTCAACAATCTCTGCTAGCCTGCCCTCTCCTCTTCCTCAACAATCTCTGCTAGTTCACCTCTCCAGGGGGCCCTGGTTTTCCCGGTTTTCCGCGATCTCCATCTTTCCCCGGCTTGCCCATCTCGCCCATTTTCGCGTCCTGTCCGGGAGCGCCTAAAATGCTTTAAAGTGGCTATGACACCCCTAACCTTGGATCCCAACATTTCCCGGCTCTCCAATCTTTCCAGGGGCTCCTGGTTTGCCACGCGGTCCGGGCTTTCCGGTCTTGCCCCGAACCCCGGGTTTCCCCGGCGTTCCGGGGGTGCCCGGTTCTCCCGGTTCTCCTGGCTGTCCGGCTTCTCCAGCCGGTCCAGTGGGCCCTGGTGCTCCTGGTGCGACGTCCTGAAACGGGATTTTGATGTCAACAAGCCTTTCATGGTATGGGTCCTAGTCGTTCATTGAACCTCACCTTGCCGGGCTCTCCTTGATGACCCGGATTGCCTGGAGGGCCAGGAGGGCCCGGTGGGCCCTCTGGGCCTTCTGGACCACCTGGGCACTCCTGGCAGGCCTGACAGCTACCGTGCTCATGGCGAAGAGATTCCGGGGCGATTCCTGGCAGGCCGGGAACGCCCTTGGCCCCGGGGACTCCTGGAAAATGATATCGATTGGGGCAGGCTAGCAAATATTCTTTCGAAAGATGCTTTAGAGAGAGAGAGAGAGAGAGAGAGAGAGAGAGAGAGAGAGTGAGAGGGGAGAGGGAGACAGAGAGAGTGAGAGCGAGGGAGAGACAGCGAAAGATAGATAGATAGAGAGAGAACAGATACAGAGAGAGAGAGAGATAGAGATAGAGAGAGAGAGAGAGAGAGGGAGAGCGAGAGAGTCGGAGGGCAGAGGCAGATAGGAAAATTCCTCGACCTCTCTCTCTTCGTTTTTTTGCTAGGGTAAGCCAGCAGTGACACTTTGCAGAAACTCCATACCCGGTTTCCCCGGTTCTCCATCAGCACCCGGGGCGCCTTGGGGTCCGACCGGGCAGCGGTCCTCCTTCTCGCATCGGCATTCCGGGGCTCCACGTTGCCGACGAGACTTCGGAAGCAGCTAAAAACGCATTCCCTAATGGTCTCCGCCAGGGACGTAGCCAGAAAAAAATTTCGGGGGGGCCCCCAAAAAAATTTTCCAAAAAACTCAAAACTTTACCGAAAAAACAGCGCCGCAGCCAAAAATTTTTGAAAACAAGGTTGCATAGCTCTACAAATAGCCGTAAAAACGTGAAAAAATAGCGCCGCAGACAGCAAAATTTTTGAGAAAATAAAAATCATAAGGGTCCCCCCTTATGAAATTTTCGGGCCCCGGCCGATTTCGGGGGGCCCGGGCCCTCGGGGCCTGTATTACGCTACGTCCCTGGTCTCCGCTAGTTGCCAATCTCAGGTAAATGATAATTCACCCACTTTGACCTCCACCAACGCTTCGGCCCCTCGCAGCCGGAGCTGCTCATTCCGGGAAGCTATCGATTCGGTGATGGTGTTAATCTAGAATTAAGGAATTCGAGATTCCAAAGAGACCTCTGCTAGCCTGCCCTCCCTTCCCAGTCCCTTTAAAAGCTCACATTGTTCTGCAAATAAGGAACGAATGCCAGGCAGATGACGAGTGAGGCTAGCGAGCCGGCCGCCGAGGCCCAGCCCAACCAGCGTGACATGCTGAAATCAATTTGGAGGAAAGGGCAGGCTAGCAGAGGCAATTTGAGGAATTTTGTGTTTTTTCAGAACATATCATAGTTGGAAGCGATGCCAGCAGAAATTCTTTAGGAAAATCGCCCATCATTACGTACCAAGAAAACCGTCTTAAGGCAGGCTAGCAGTGATTCCTTAATGAGCAGGGCAAGCAAGCGGAGATTATCACGGAAAATGGTTGAGAATAGTAAAAATGTTGTGCAGATAAGGCAGGCTAGCAAAGATTTTTGAGAGCTTTCGTAATATCGGGGGGGGGGGGGTGGGTTTCCGCTGACCGAAATGCCTAGCAACTTAATAAAACATGGTTTAGTAGTGTTTTTACTGAAATTTAGCTAATTTTAAAGTGGAAAAATGATCAAAAAAAGCTTAGAGAAAATTTGTTCGCAATTTTGGTCGGAAAAGCGGTTTTTGTCGTATTTTCTAAGGAAAACTTAGTTACGTTTTTGCGTCTAGGAATAGCATAAAAGGGTTTGGAAACAATTCCGCTATTTATCTAGACAAATTGGATTCTAAGGAAAAACTTTGTTCCGTACTTAAGCCTAAGCCAAGCCAAAGCTAAGCCAAAACTAAGCCAAAGCTAAGCCTAACCTAAGCCTAAGCAAGGGCATAAACTCGTCGGGTCAGCTAGCACAGACTCTTTTGGAACTATAAAACCACTGTTATTAGCTAATTAACCGCCCTGGAAAATTGTGGGGGGTAGGCAAGTTGTTCAATGCTGGCGAGTGGGTGGGGTGGATTTTCGGGATGCCACTACGAGGCGCAGGATCGGTCGCGGGTGCGGAACCGGGGCGCCCAGAGCCCCGCAAAAAAAAACTCGGCAAATAGCAGATAGGAAAATATATATTGGATACTTTCGGGGGAGTCAGCCCTTTTCGGAACACTTTTTACGGAGATTCCTCACCAAACTTCCCGCTCGTTGACTCGCTTTTATGAGGTAAACATGGGTTCGGGAAACGGGTTTTCAGAAACCGCTGAAACCAACAAGTTTTAAGAGGGCAGGCTAGCAGAGATTGTTGAGGAAGAGGAGAGGACAGGCTAGCAGAGATTGTTGAGGAAGAGGAGAGGGCAGGCTAGCAGAGATTGTTGAGGAAGAGGAGAGGACAGGCTAGTAGAGATTGTTGAGGAAGAGGAGAGGACAGGCTAGCAGAGATTGTTGAGGAAGAGGAGAGGGCAGGCTAGTAGAGATTGTTGAGGAAGAGGAGAGGGCAGGCTAGTAGAGATTGTTGAGCAAGAGGAGAGGGCAGGCTAGCAGAGATTGTTGAGGAAGAGGAGAGGGCAGGCTAGCAGAGATTGTTGAGGAAGAGGAGAGGGCAGGCTAGCAGAGATTGTTGAGGAAGAGGAGAGGGCAGGCTAGCAGAGATTGTTGAGGAAGAGGAGCGCGCTAGCAGAAACCCTTTGAAATCGATTTATTCGGCACAAAAAACCAAAATCGACACGTGAAAAAGCTATTGATTCTTCTTGTCGCCGGTGGCGGTGGGGATGAGCATCTTGAGCTCTTCTTTCGTCCGCGCATAGTCGAGGAGGGCCTGAAAAAATAATCCTAAGGCAAGCTAGCAGAGATTCTTTAAAGAAACGACAGAATCGTGTAGATTCTACCTTCTTGGCCGTGGCGCCGATGCCGACGCGGATGGCCGAGCGGGACAGCCAGTGGGTGCTGAACAAGGGCAGGCTGGCAGAGGCAATTTGCGTCAAACCTGGACGTGATCGACTCGGTGATGTTCTTCATCTTGCGCAGCTGTAGAATCGTGAGGATGGTGAGGACGAAGGTGGTGAGGTTGATGATCAACGGGATCACCGAGGCGAGCACCAGCCACGTCATCAGCTCGGCTTCTGCCTGGAATTCCGTGATCTCTGCTGAGCTGTCCCTCCGCTTCCTCAACAATCTCTGCTAGCCTGCCCTCTCCTCTTCCTCACCAATCTCTACTAGCCTGCCCTCTCCTCTTCCTCAACAATCTCTGCTAGCCTGCCCTCTCCTCTTCCTCAACAATCTCTGCTAGCCTGCCCTCTCCTCTTCCTCAACAATCTCTGCTAGCCTGCCCTCTCCTCTTCCTCAACAATCTCTGCTAGCCTGCCCTCTCCTCTTCCCCAACAATCTCTGCTAGCACCCACCATTTTGCAGTCTCCATCATTGCCGGCTTCTGCGGCCCGGACGACGGGCCCGACGACGACAAGGAGCAGCAGCGACAACTTCTTCACGACACGAACCATGTTTGCTTTGTAGAGAGCGAGAAGGCGGGAAAGCGCCGACCCGGTGCAGGCGAGGAGTAGGAAATGGCGTTCACGATGTTTGTGGAGTGACCTCAATTTTTCCGGAAGTTGTGTAGATGGAGATGCAAATGAGGGGAATGCAAATTGTAGTGCAAACTCCCGGCGACGACGCCGGGAGCGCGACGCCAGCGACTATACTTTGGAGGGTTCCTTCGAATTCACGGCGGTTCAGATTGGCCTGGTCAACGAATATAAAGTGTCTTATATATTCCTTAGCACTTTTTAACTATCATTCAAAAACGTTCGGTAAGATTCTAGATACCTCCCCCCTCCAGCAGGCCCCAACTCTTGTATCTCAGCTCGCTGTTCATCTACAGGTGTGTAAAGTATACCAAAATGTTCATCTTGCTCTGGCGAGCATTTTGGTATAGTTTACACATTTGTAGATGAACAGGGAGCGAGGTAACAACAGATTAGTGCCGGCTGGGGGTAAACTGCACTCTAACCCTATGTTTTTTTAAGTGTACCATTCTACAACACATTTAAACACACTGAGAAACGTCTTCGCATCCATGTAACGACCACTTCCGGTCATTTTGTATGGGGAAATTGCAGCAAATTAGCTCGTAGGCAGCCTCGAAAACGCAAAATTAGACAAAATGGCTTGCAAACCCACGCTTTTAGATAAAACGATAGTTTTGAATATTGTTCCAAACTCGCCGTTTCAAGGGCTTTCTAATGGTGTAACTAGCGTTCCGATCCGTAACTTCTGCGTTAAAGACCGCTAGAACACTTGAACGCACACTGTCACCCCGAGGGTGCGCCCCCCAAGAACGCGCAGGGAGAGGCGTCATTAGTGGCGCCCCGTACTGGGCAAAGGCCCTCTGGTGGTCTAGTGGCTAGCGCGTCGGGCTGTGGAGCGAACCATCGCGGGTTCGACCCCCGCCCGGGGCGCATCTTTCTTGCTTTTAACGAAATTTCATCGTTCTGACGGTCTTTAAGGGAATCGTTTTTCGTTGGGCCATGCACACCTGTGCATGCCAATGTACACTATCTGTGTGCAGTGCCATATAGAAGAATGCCATGCATTTTACACGCCAAAACAAACATTTATTACAGCGAAAATGAGACACAGAAGGCACGAAAAGCCGATAGGCGAGCTGGTTAGAGGTTCTTTGCATCGACGGCCACGGCCGGGGCGGATCGATCACTTCATCAGCATGGCGACGGCACCCGAGAAGAGGGCCACCATCAGACTGGCCATCGACGCGGAGGAGGCAGCCGTCGTCGGAGCCCCTGTGGCGGCCGAAGCAGCAGGAGCAACAGTAGTCTTGTCCTGGGCCATCACCGTCGCCAGCATGGCCATCAACATCACGATGTTCAGCAGCTTGCCCATCATTGTCAAAGTGGTCGAGATGAGGATCAGGCGAAAGGCCGGAGATGAACAAGATGACGGCATTTTGGACCGACGGCTTATTACCCGACCCGGAAATCATGCGCCCAGCCGGCTATGCTAATTACGGCTTCAAATTAGGCGAATTACTGATTTCTTTTCGGACTTTCTCAATGAACTCTGCTAGCCTGCCCTCTCCTTTTCCTCAACAATCTCTGCTAGCCTGCCCTCTCCTTTTCCTCAACAATCTCTGCTAGCCTGCCCTCTCCTTTTCCTCAACAATCTCTGCTAGCCTGCTCTCTCCTCTTCCTCAACAATCTCTGCTAGCCTGCCCTCTCCTCTTCCTCAACAATCTCTGCTAGCCCGCCCCCTGTTCCCTTTCTCCTTTTCTCAGAAAAAAGCTGCTTCTCACTTTTCGGGTATAGATAATTTTTCTAAACGATCCCTTCTAGCCCCACAGTTCTTTTGAATTCCGTAAACCCAGCGAACAAGCTAGCAAAGATTGTTGAGGAAGAGGAGAGTGCAGGCTAGCAGAGATTGTTGAGGAAAAGGAGAGGGCAGGCTAGCAGAGATTGTTGAGGAAAAGGAGAGGGCAGGCTAGCAGAGATTGTTGAGGAAAAGGAGAGGGCAGGCTAGCAGAGATCATTGAGAAAGTCCGAAAAGAAATCAGTAATTCGCCTAATTTGAAGCCGTAATTAGCATAGCCGGCTGGGCGCATGATTTCCGGGTCGGGTAATAAGCCGGCCGTCCAAAATGACATCATCTTGTTCATCTCCGGCGTTTCGCCTGATCCTCATCTCGACCACTTTGACAATGATGGGCAAGCTGCTGAACATCGTGATGTTGATGGCCATGCTGGCGATGGTGATGGCCCAGGACAAGACTGTTGCTCCTGCTGGTGCCGCTTCGGCCGCCACAGAGGCTCCGACGACTGCTGCCTCCTCCGCGTCGATGGCCAATCTGATGGTTGCCGTCTTCTCCGGTGCCGTCGCCATGCTGATGAAGTGATCGGGATGTGGCCCTGATGTGACCCCAACGAATGATATTCACGTTTTCATAATGTTCACTATCTTTTCGTGTGAATAAACGGTCGTTTGGGTGGAAAGGGAACTTGCATCGCCTCAAATTGTCTCTGCTAGCCTGCCTCGTGGTGTCGTGGCCCAAATGACTGTAGTTTGAGTGCAAGTAGTACCCGCAGCATTAGGGCCATTTGGGCCCTAATTGTCGTTCCACCGAATTGACTACGACACGCTCCAATAGCCGACCGCCCGGGTGCAAATTAAATGAGCGGAAATTTACGGCCGTTTCCCCGCAAGGGCCCAAAAAGTGATTGAAAATCCGGAGCCCGCGGGGCGGGGCCCATTTGGCCATAACTGGGCCCTAAGTTTGAGGGACTTTTGCCTGGCAAAGATTGTCGCGCTTGTGCAGTTTCTGGGTTCTTTTCCGTTATCGGGGGGGGTGCTTTTTGTATGTCTAGAAATGCCTAGTAACTTAATCGGAAGTGTTTTAATAATGTTTTTAGTCAAATAAAACTATAATTCATTTATCAAGGTATCTAAAAAATTTTGAAAAAGTCTAGATTTTGGGCAAAAATCGGCCATTACGGTCGAGAGATCGTTTTTTTTCTTGTATTCTGAAAACAAAAAATTGAATGTTTTCACGCAGTAAAACCCCTTAAAACACTTCCACTATTCCTATTTGAAAACTGGATACGAAGAAAAAAGCGTCCCCTCCCGATAATGCGAAAGAACATGTTTCTGAATTACAGCTGCCTTTTTCTACCTAAAAGGCTTTTATCAGGGATCTCCTATTAAATGCATCAATCCAGGGCGCTACGGCAAGCTAGAATTTCCAGGCCGCGGGAGCTATGAGAGAGAGCGAGAGAGAGAGAGAGAGAGAGAGAGAGAGAGAGAGATAGATAGAGAGAGAGAGAGAGAGAGATAGGAGGAGAGAGAGAGAGAGAGAGAGAGAGAGAGAGAGAGAGAGAGAGCGCGAAATGTGTGTGAGGGAAATCGAGAGAGGGGGAGAGGAGCGAGAGAGAGCGAGAGCCTGAGGCCAGGAGAGAGAGAGAGAACGAGAGCGAACGAGAGAGAACGAGAGAGAGAGAGAGAGAGAGAGAGAGAGAGAGAGAGAGAGAAAGAGAGAGAGTCAGAGAATGAGCGAGAGACAGTCTGAAAAATCCAAGGCAAGCTAGCAGGGCGTTTTGAGAAATTTCGGGTAGCGGGCTAACGGAGATACTTGAGGAAGCTGTCCCAGGCAAGGTACGCTAGCAGGAATTCTTTTGGAATTCGGACAAACTAGCAGGGAGTCTTCAGAGAGCTGGGTTGAGCAGGGCAAGCTAGCAGGGTTTTTTTGTTGTTTTTTCGTCTAAATACTTCGAGAACAGGGTTGAAAATCGTATTTCTTGCCAAAAATAGCTTGTTTCATCGATTCCCGCCCTTTCCACGATCCGATTCCCAGTAATAAAATCATATTAAAGTACCCAAAAAATCGCCGGTTATTTCCGCGTAAGGAGGCGTGCCGCGTACTCGGAACTGTCGACGGCCCTAAGCATAATTGCCACTTGCTTTATTCATTGCCCTTTTGTTAGCACCGATCGCCCCACAAATTGTGGGTAGACGCAACCGGAAAACAGAACACAGAAAACCCCCAGGCAAAAATCAGACGATCCGAAACCCGCAATTTGGCATGCTTTGGGGCGGCAGGTTGGCATTTTTTGGATTCCGGAAAATTTATTGGAAAGTTCCTGCGATGAGTAATGCGGCGCAGCGCGATTTTTCACGGTAATTATTTGAAAAGCAGCTGCGAAAGCTTTGATCAGCCCAAGCCTAAGCCAAGCCGAAGCTTAGCCTAAGCTTAAGGTAAGCCTATGCTGGTCTAACCTAAGCCTAAGCTAATCCCAAATTAAGCCTAAGCTAAGCCTAAGCTTAAGAGAAGCCTAGGATAAGCTTATCCTGGTCTTACCTAAGCCTAAGCTAATCCCAAGCCTATGCCTACGCCCAATGCAAGTTAGGCTTAAGCCTCAGCACAAGCCCAAGCCTAAGCCCAGGCCTAAGCCTAAGCCTAAGCCTAAGCCTAAGCCTAAGCTAAGCCTAAGCTTAAGATAAGCCTAGGATAAGCCTATCCTGGTCTAACCTAAGCCTAAGCTAATGCCAAGCCTAAGCCTAAGCCCAAACCAAAACCTAAGCTAAGCCCAAGCCAAGCCCAAGCTAAACCTAAGTTAAGCCTAAGCTAAGCCTAAGCCTATGTCTACGCCCAATGCAAGTTAGGCTTAAGCCTCAGCACAAGCCCAAGCCTAAGCCCAAGCCTAAGCCTAAGCCTAAGCCTAAGCCTAAGCCTAAGCTAAGCCTAAGCTTAAGATAAGCCTAGGATAAGCCTATCCTGGTCTAACCTAAGCCTAAGCTAATGCCAAGCCTAAGCCTAAGCCCAAACCAAAACCTAAGCTAAGCCCAAGCCAAGCCCAAGCTAAACCTAAGTTAAGCCTAAGCTAAGCCTAAGCTAAGCCTAAGATAAGCAAGCCTAAGCCTAGCCTAAGCCTGGAGAAATTTGACATCCAGAAACTTTGGGTAAAGATTGTATAATTTTAAAAAAATGTTAAATCATTCAATCGCATTTTCAAGTGAGTTTTTGCGCCTCAAAGGGGCAGTGAAGGCAAAGATCTACTCGCTTTTCTAGGGCGATGATTCTCAACGGGGTGCGGTACATTTTTGCGGCCGACCCGGTCAGCACGGAATCGCTGGCAATTATGTATTTTGTCACAGGTCAATTCTCACGAGATTTTATTGTTTGTTTTTTAAATACCTAACCAACATGACAACGTAAATCCAATTTTAGGCATGCTGGCCCTGGCGTGCAACCTGTTCAATATCTATATCTTCTACAGCCTGCACCGTAAGCAGCGAAAATATCAGATATTCATCGCCATCGAGGTGGCAGAAGTCGTCAACTGTGAGTTGCTAAGCCTAAGCCTAAGCCTTTGCAAAACTCATAAATCTTCTTTAGGTTTTGCCTACATCACAACTGGCGCCTCACGATTTATTATGCTAAAAATCGGGATAATATTCGACACGATTTCGACCGCCGGCTGCTTTTTCACGGTGAGGGCAGGCTAGCAGAGATTGTTGAGGAAGAGGAGAGGGCAGGCTAGCAGAGATTGTTGAGGAAGAGGAGAGGGCAGGCTAGCAGAGATTGTTGAGGAAGAGGAGAGGGCAGGCTAGCAGAGATTGTTGAGGAAGAGGAGAGGGCAGGCTAGCAGAGATTGTTGAGGAAGAGGAGAGGGCAGGCTAGCAGAGATTGTTGAGGAAGAGGAGAGGGCAGGCTAGCAGAGATTGTTGAGGAAGAGGAGAGGGCAGGCTAGCAGAGATTGTTGAGGAAGAGGAGAGGGCAGGCTAGCAGAGATTGTTGAGGAAGAGGAGAGGGCAGGCTAGCAGAGATTGTTGAGGAAGAGGAGAGGGCAGGCTAGCAGAGATTGTTGAGGAAGAGGAGAGGGCAGGCTAGCAGAGATTGTTGAGGAAGAGGAGAGGGCAGGCTAGCAGAGATTGTTGAGGAAGAGGAGAGGGCAGGCTAGCAGAGATTGTTGAGGAAGAGGAGAGGGCAGGCTAGCAGAGATTGTTGAGGAAGAGGAGAGGGCTGACTAGCAGAGATTCTTTGCTAAATTCACCAAACCTCAAATTTAGAGACCTTACGGCGTGTTGCTAATCGTCGGGACCCAACTGCCGGCGATAATCGTAGTTATTTCATCGGTGGAACGGCTGATGGGTCAGTTTGTAGCCTCTAAAAAACATTGGAAGCTAGTAGAGATCATTTGGGAAGCAGACTAGCAGAGGTTTTTGAGGAGCGTGTTTCATCTCTTCATCGACCAGATAATAAGAATGACGTTTATTGCGTCCTCTCGAAACAATGAGAATTTTTAAGGGTCCTGAAATTGTGATCCTGAAAATCCTGATCTTTTATAAAGTTCACCTGCGCGGTGTGGATAATACAAAGTGCCCCAGATGTTTTCTGATTCCCACCTTTTACGGATCCCCTGGGGCTTCAATGTTTGCACGGTTAAAAATTGGGCTCGCAGCGTAGTGGGTAAAAAAATCAATGATACAAAATGGGTAGAAATAGAGGGTAAATTCCGATAAAAAGCAACGCTTTGATTTTGCCATTTCAAAACTGCTCGACTGAAAACTTTGAAAAGAGGTTCGGAAGGGAATTGAAAATGTTCACAGAAACTGTTAACGCGCTATCTACTCTATTTTTCGAGTTATGACAAAAATAAGCTTTATTTTACGTTTTTAACCTGGATTTCTTGGGAACGCATAGCTAAAATGAAGCACCGGCCCTTTTTATCCTATAAATTTTTTTATCTCGCAAAATTCGGCTTGGAAATAATCTATTAAAGTAATTTTAACAATGTGAAGATGTTAAGAGAAATGGGTAGCTGACTGTAAAGTGTTTTTACTCAAGTTGGAGTTTCGATTCGGGACCAAGTGCATCTTGTGCAGAATTTTTCGCTGATACCGAATCCGTTTTCCAAATTTGCTGCGGACTTTTATTTAAAAAGTCATTTTGGGTGCAAATTAAGCTTGAAATAGCCAAAAATTCGGATCCTGGTTCACTATTCCCTCCATGGTTCTGCCTCACCCAGGGGTCCTGAAGTATTCTGTCACAGCTCCCCCTCCCGCTTGGCACCATGGTGCATTGGCAAAGTACTCGCTTGCCAAGCGCAGGGCGGCGGTTCGGATCCCCACCCTGCACCTTTCTTTTGCTTTTTGCATAAAAAAATTTAATTTTTATAAAAAAGCTTGTTTTGACTTTTAAGATGCTTGTCTAGCCAATGTCTAGCCAATTTTGAAGTTGAAATTGATCAGGAAAATCGAAACGATAACGGTTCCTTGAATTTTGGTGAAAAACACTGCCATAATTGCTGTATAACTTTCAAAATAAAAGTCCGCAGCAAATTTGGAAAGCGGATTCGGAATCAGCGAAAAATTCTGCACAAGATGCACTTGGTCCCGAATCGAAACTCCAACTTGAGTAAAAACACTTTACAGTGAGAGCCGGAAATCGATGGAAAGTCATTGTTGGAAAGTCAAAAAAAATATTGCCAAAAATTAAGCGAAAAATTTGAAAAACAGTTTTTTTAGGAGAACTCTAAACTGCTGTACTGATCGGGCTGAAAGCTTTTGTGAACGTTTTAAATTCACCAAACACTGTTCAAAATTTCAAGACAATCGGATTTGAAATGGCATAAAGCCAGCGTGTCCTTTTTTATTGGGACACTGAAAATTTGCCGTCACGGTTCTCTAATAATCTCGGCTAGCCTGCCCTCTCCCTAAAATCCCCCTATTTTTAGCCGTCTACCGTCCCGCTTCCTATCAACGATACTGGGATGATCCTTTCAAGAAGCGGCTTCTCCTCGCAGTGGCCGTTGTTCAAATCGTAATTTCCACCATGTTCCAGTTTTAACAATTTCCAGACGTCAGTAGTACTCGCCGGAATGTCGGCATTTTTTGACCCATATATCAACTCGACCCAGCACTGCCCAGCCGCAGCTACCGTATCCTCCACCTACGCAGCTGTACATTTCCTATTTCAGGTGGTTTTCAGGGCAGGCTAGCAGAGGCAATTTGAGGAATTTGACCTAGCAGAAGAGGGCGTTCTTTTTAGATCCTCTCCTACCTGGTCAGCTTTGTGACGCTGGCGGCAGTTTATTTGACGAGCAAGGTAAGGCTAGCAGGGATTATTGAGAAAACAGGCTTCACCGTCCCTTTAAAATCGCCATACGGGGCGTTTTCAGAAAATGATCATCTCGAAGGGAGGCGTCGGCTATTTTCGGGTCACCATGCTCCTAGCAGGCAAGTGGAGATTTGGGCAGGCTAGCAGGGATTATTTGGGAAAATGAGAAAATACAGAAATAGATTTCTTGGCTTCCCACTCCCGTAATTAGCCATAATTTCAGGTTTCGGCGTCTTTGTGATGGGCTGCCCGGCAGGAGTGTCGTTAGGAACGACGTGGAATTTATTCAAGGCCAGCGACGTCGTCTTCGGAATTGGAATCACGGTGCCGGGGTAAGCCAGCAGAGATTGTTGAGGAAGAGGAGAGGGCAGGCTAGCAGAGATTGTTGAGGAAGAGGAGAGGGCAGGCTAGCAGAGATTGTTGAGGAAAAGGAGAGGGCAGGCTAGCAGAGATTGTTGAGGAAAAGGACAGGGCATGCTAGCAGAGATTGTTGAGGAAAAGGACAGGGCAGGCTAGCAGAGATTGTTGAGGAAGAGGAGAGGGCAGGCTAGCAGAGATTGTTGAAGCAGAGGAGAAGACAAGCGAGCAACGCTGAATCTTTTTTTCAGCCTCATCTCAGTAGCAACAACAATCTCCAACGGCATCTTCCACCGAGAATACCGGCGAAAGGTAATTTTTGAGATTTTGAGAAACTTAGGTATTCCACAACTAGCAGAGATTCCTAGGGAAGGGCAGGGCGTGCTAGCGGAGATTTTTGGGGAGGAATGGTATAATGGTTACCGTATCCCTGTATCTAGGTGTACAACGTAATTGGCCGGCGGATTGGGTGTCATTTGTCTGCTCGGGACGAGTCTTCGGTTCGTGCCAAGACCACAGCGCCCTTTTTGGTCAGCCAGGCCTTCCACAGTCATAATGGGTAGGTGTTTTACTTTGTGTATTTTGTCCCGTGAGACGTTTCCGTGTTTGTGCAGTTCTGGGATCGAGAGAGAGAGAGGGAGAGAGAGAGAGAGAGAGAGAGAGAGAGAGAGAGAGAGAGGGAGAGAGATAAGGCAGCCTATCAGCGGCGATTTAGGAAACGGAAACTTTCAACGAGCAGTTTGTCTTTAAGGCGGCCAAATCCGTGACTGCACCATCCCTTTAAACGGGGTAGGAAGGCGGAGGAAGCAACAGGAAAAAGGCTGTGCAAGGATGTCCTGCCAGACTGTATGTGTCTTTCGGTTCGCGTACTTTATGTTCCGGTTAACGTTTTGCATTTGTAGAGGAGTGAAAATTTAAAAAATAGGGTGATTTTTAGGAAAATGACGCTACCATCCTCGCAGATCGGAATGACCTGATGGAAATCGAACGGGAAATGATCGTTTATTTGATTCTACAGATGAATAGAGAGTTTTATAATCCTGAATGGGTACTCAATATTTCTCCCGCTCTCTCTCTCGCTCTCTCTCTCGCTCTCTCTCTCGCTCTCTCTCTCTCGCTCTCTCGCGCTAGCCGCCCCCTCTTCCTCAACAATCTCTGCTAGCCTGCCCTCTCCTCTTCCTCAACAATCTCTGCTAGCCTGCCCTCTCCTCTTCCTCAACAATCTCTGCTAGCCTGCCCCCCCTCCTCTTCCCTCAACAACTCTGCTAGCCTGCCCTCTCCTCTTCCTCAACAATCTCTGCTAGCCTGCCCTCTCCTCTTCCTCAACAATCTCTGCTAGCCTGCCCTCTCCCCCTTCCCTCAACAACCTCTCTAGCCTGCCCTCCCTCTTCCTCAACAATCTCTGCTAGCCTGCCCTCCCTCTTCCCTCAACAATCTCTGCTAGCCTGCCCCTCTCCTCTTCCTCAACAATCTCTGCTAGCCTGCCCTCTCCTCTTCCTCAACAATCTCTGCTAGTCTGCCCTACATCCTTCCTCTCTTCTGTTCTTTCCTATTTAATGACCAGACTACCGTACTAAACAGGTTGTTTATCCGGAACTAACCGGAAAGAAAAGAAAAGCCCGGAAATTCCGGGTATCACAGTTCACACATTAGCACACAATTGGCGCCGTAAATTGAATCGGCGCGGCAGGCGGGAACCCCATTTCCACGGTTGCTCGAAAAATGTGTTTTTGTACCACCTACCGAAAAATTAAATTTTCAAATTACCACGGTTTTCCCGTAACGGACAGGCAGGGTGCAAAGAGGAAAAACCGGAACCGGAATGGTGCAAATTTCTAGAATACTTTGGGCGGCGCTTGATCAGATTTTCGGGGAGTCTAAGAATATGCCTAGGTTATCAGCCTATTGCACGGGGCCCCAATAAAAAAAACCGGTTCAAGACTGTTAGCGGGGGGTGGGGTCTGGCAAGTAGGAGGAACAACTTTTTGTTTTTTTCACCTAAACCAACATGTTGATCATCAATAATGTATTTTTATAATGTTTTAGTAGTTTTTCATTGCTATAAAATTACAAGAAATATTTTTAAACGACGACATTTTGACCCTTTTTGGTGATTTTCCATACATTTTTGACGAGAACTCAAAAATTTCGAAATTTGTCTTTATTTTTTGTAGTGTTTTTATATCTAAAAAATAAGCAAAATTCCATAAAAATGGTTCAAATGTTGTTAAAGGGCCGTAGAAAACCACCGGGAAGAATTTGGTTCCCCCCGCTAACAGTCCAGAACCATGCCGAGGGAGCCGGTTTTTTAGGACACTCTGTACATCTTTTTTTCATTGTACTACCCGACTCAATCGATAAATACCTTTATTATGCATAAAATCTATCGAGGTATCGATTTGAAAGTTATTATCTAGCCCTGGAGCTGCTGGAAGACGCCCTGGAGCTCGGCGCCAACGTTGGCCGGGATCGACTTTTGCAAGGCCTCCATCTGTTCGCCCTTCTTGGCACGGGGCAGATCCTTGTTGTCGGCAATCTACAAAAATTCGAATTTCCTTGACAATCTCTGCTAGCTAGCCGGATCTGATCGATTTTAAAGGACCAGTGAAGCCAGAGAAACTCACGGCTTGGAGCTTGGCGTCGAAGCCCTTGGCGGCGGCGGAGAGCTTGGCGATGGCGGCGGCCTGCTTGGCACGGCCCTCCTTCTCGGCAGCGGCTCCCTTCGACTCGATGTCGTCGAACTGCTTCTGAAAATGGAGCGGTTTTCAGTTCCTCAGCAATCTCTGCTAGCCTGCCCTCTCCTCTTCCTCAACAATCTCTGCTAGCCTGCCCTCTCCTCTTCCTCAACAATCTCTTAGCCTGCCCCCCCTCTTCCTCAACAACTTGCTAGCTGCCCTCTCCTCTTCCTTAAAATCTCTGTAGCCTGCCCCTCCTCTTCCTAACAATTCTAGCCTCCCTCTCCTCTTCCTCAACAATCTTGCAGCCTCCCTCTCCTCTTCCTCAACACTCTAGCCTCCCTCTCCTCTTCCTCAACAATATCTGCTAGCCTGCCCTCTCCTCTTCCTCAACAATCTCTGCTAGCCTGCCCTCTCCTCTTCCTCAACGATCTCTGCTGGCTCACCTTCTGGGCGGCGGGCAGCTTCTTGGCCCAGGCCTTGGTCTGAGCATCAGCCTGGTTGTCCGAGAGTTGGCCGTTGTTCTGGATGGTGATGAACTCCTGCTTCAAGGCGGCGGGGATCTGAAAATCGAAGGTTGAATCGTACCAAAAACTAAGCCTAAGCCCCAGCTCAAGTTGAAGCAGTTCAAAAACTGACCCCGGTGAGGAATGGTGGCTCCTGCTCTCCTTGGCCCTGGGCCAAGACGGCGCAGCCGAATACGGCGACGAGGGCGAGTACCTGAAAAACGTAGCATTAAAGAACTAGCCGTTTTGAAATTAGTTTTTAATTAATCTAATTTAAATAAAACACATCAATTTATAAAAAAAATATAAATTAAAATATCGAAATTAAAGGATACCCACCTTGTACATTTTCGAGGTCGAGAAGGGATTGGGAGATTTGGAGGTTGTCCGAGATCTGACCGTCCCCCAATTTTTCGTCGGCTTTTATCGGCAGATTCGAGCTGGTGGTGCTCCGCCCAGATCGTCGACGATTTTGCCGAATTTTCCCGGGGGTTGACCAAGGACATTTCAGAGGGAGAGAGAGGGGGAAGGGACGGTGTTTTCTTGTTGATGACTGTTTTCTTTCTCTTTCTCTCGCTCGTTCTCTCTCTCCCACTCGCTCTCTTTCTCCCTCTCTCGCTTTTTCACGCCCTCCACCTTTCTGTTAAAGATAGGCTAGCGGAGAATCGTGAGGAAAGGATTGGGATCTAGCAGCTCTAACCAGCAGAGATTGTTGAGGAAGAGGAGAGGGCAGGCTAGCAGAGATTGTTGAGGAAGAGGACAGGGCAGGCTAGCAGAGATTGTTGAGGAAGAGGACAGGGCAGGCTAGCAGAGATCCTTCAAATCCTCTCGTCCACGTTTCGCCAGTATTTTTCCTGCTTTCTCTCTCTCTCACTCTCGCTCTCTCTCTCTCTCCCAAAGCGGATGCTTTTGTTTTCGCCTTCCCCAAGATATTATCATCACTCCAAGCGGCTCTTCCCGGCTGCCCATCTCAAAAAAGGACATACACAGAGTTTCAGGTCAATCGGCTCCCCCCATCCGGCTCATCGTATTTTTCCGGTAACGGCCGGCCAAAAAACAAGTTGGGTTGCTGGATTTTGAGGCCGAACTCTGGACAGGCTAGCAGAGGGCATTTGGGAAATTATTGAGAACGAACTTTTGAGCGTGAGGGATTTTTATGGATTCGTCAATTGTGTTAAAAAATGCATGTTTGATGTGGGTTGTGTTTGGCAATGGGGATCAAAAGCACAAAGAGCGAGCGAGAGAGAGAGAGAGAGAGAGAGAGAGAGAGAGAGAGAGAGAGAGCGGAACCCCCGATCATTTCTTGTACACGTCACTCCTTTCGACAACGGTCTGCCCAACTGTCCGGCGAACTTCTTCAGCCGGTTCGCTGAGCAGCTTCTTGTGAAAAAAAATCGAGAACTCAGTCGTCATTTAGAACTCCATGTCCACGTTTCGATTTTGAGACAGTTTAATCCAAGATTTGCGCAACAGATTACGGTCTGCCAATTGCCATGCCTTCAAGGTGTTTTTTGTGGTATTTGTATAAAAGTGTTCTAAACCACTTTTTAGTTTTGTACGTTTTAATTTTCCCGATTTACTAATTACAGTAATCCGCGCGTTAAAATGTTCAGTATGCCCAAAAAACTTCACAAAAAAAAATAATATTTATAAGTAGGCGTGGCGGTGGTGTTGAGAAGCACGGTTGTTTCGCATAAAGTTTCAGAGGCACTGTAATAGCACGTGGGAGAAGGGGTGGGTGGGGTTTTAAAGGGACGGGCAAGGCACGGCTATGGAATTTCTATCTATCAATTCTCCGATTTTGCAGAAACCGCGAGACGCAGCGCGCGCACTGTGCGTGGCCGCATAGATTTTTTCGACTTTTGGAGGGTCAAACGACATGCGCGCTAAATTTACGAAAAATCCATAGCCTCGTCTGTCTTGCCAGCCCCTTTAAACCCTCTCGGATTCGCTGTAAAAAATGCAAAAAAATCACAAAATTCGAATAAAGGCCAGAATGGGATTTCTCGTTGTGGTAAATGCGATGCGCGGCTAAAACGCGGAAATTTTGACAAGTTAAAAACATGGGAAAACACGAATTCTTTTTGATCCAGGCTACGGTAGGGCAAGTCGATGAAGTGGGGGAGGGGTACGGTAGACAGGGAGGGTGGATACGGTATTGCAAGTGGGCGGATAAAACTGATTGCGTCGTGGGAAGGTATTGTGACTGCGTGTCGGGTTACGGTAATACGGTCGGGTGGGACAATATATAGGGGGGAGGGACACGAATGAGTTACGCCAGGTTATTCAGGCTACAGAATTTGGGCTGCCGGGTCCTTTAAAATGTGAATCCGGGTCGAATTTTGGCATTCCGGCATCTTTCAAAGAGCTGGAAAACTACAAAGGGCAACCGATTACGCGAGGGTTTTTTGGGCTGAAATTTTTGAGTGACAGGCCCCTTTAAGAAGCCTGGAAAACCGCGCAATTCGAACTCACTACGCCACGTAATTCATGCTGAAAATTGTGAGTTACCGCTTGCTTTAAAAGCCCAGAAACGACAAAATTCAAACCGATCACGCCAGATTAATCTGCGTGCAATTTTAGCTTCCGAGTCCCTTTAAAAGCCTAGAAAACCTCAAGATTCGAACCGATTACTCCAGATTAATCGGGGCTGAATTTTAGCTTTCCAGCCCCTTTAAAATTCACGGCGAAAGGACAACATTTACAATTACAAGAAGATGCAAAAATCACAACTGTCTTTCTTTCCTCGTTGGCGCGAATAAATAAGTAGGCTTGGGGGATAAATAGATCGATAAGCTGCATGGGGGAAATCTTTGAATTTTCATGGGGGGTTTTTGATCACATTTCCGGGGTGTAAGAGGCTTTTTCAGAAGAGGTCAGGGTTTAGGAAACATCATCAAAATCGAAGAAGAAAAAAAAACATTTTAAAAATTCACAACATTCACTGATGGAATTGGGCGAGTTCGCGCATCGGGGCCATCGGGCGGCGCTCGCTCGCACGGCGCACGATGCCTGAGCCGCCGGTTTTTTGTGGGTGCACCTGAAATAGCATGGAAAATTTATCCGGAATTCTAGTTTCGGCTCTAATGATCTCTGCTAGCCTGCCCTGCGGTATAAAAAATCCAAATTGAAAATCCGAAATTTGGGGATTCCGCTAAAAACTTCTTCTGCTAGCCTGCCAAATATGTTAATTTCTTTAAAAACCTCCGCTAGTCTGCCCTAGATTGAAACTCCTGATGCTCAGATTCCCCGAAAACTTTCTGCTAGCCTGCCCCACATTCGGAGCTCGAAACCCCTGAAAAATCCCGACAAACCACCGCTGCCTATCCTCATACCGGAACTACGATTTTCCACAAAAATCTCTGTTTGCTTGCCCAATCTTCAAATTTTTCCTAACTGCTAGCTGGCCCTGAAGCCAAAATTCGTAAATCTTCCACAAACCCTCTGTTTGCCTGCCTAATCTTCAATTCTTTATGCTTTCCCAAAAATCGCTGCTAGCCTGCCTTTTTACAATTCGCAATTTTCTACAAAAATCTTCGCTTGTTTGCCCAATGTTCAAGTTATTCCTTAAAAATAGCTAATAGCCTGCCCTGTCGCCGGGATTCCTATTTTTCCACAAAAATCTCTCTTCCGGTCCCCGAGTTTTCAAACACCCAAGTTTTCTGATTCCTCAAAAATCGCTGCCAGCCTGCCCTGAAGGTGTCCTCAATTTATATTTTCCACCGAAATCTCTGCTAGCATGCCCGATCTCAAATACCCAAAAAAAACGACGCACCAATGGCTGCTTCTGCGGCGGGGCGAGGTGCCAGGTGACGCGTGGCGCGCTGCTATCGGGGTGGCGGTACTGAAAAGGGGTGCATTAGACTCGACACTTCCAAATTTTACACACGAAAATACATTCGCAAAATTTATGTTAGTGCTTTTGTTGATCATCACCGAAATTCGGACACGGTTACGACACCTAGCAAGCTACGCAACGCTGCGCAGCGCTTCAACTACACAGTACAACGCGTAAAAAAACACGCCACAGGCATTCGCTAAAGTACCCTCGGCTTCCGCGTCGGCGTCGGCGAGCGCTTGCGCGCGCTGCTCGGCGTATAGGGCGTAGGCCGCCTCGACCGGGGCGCGCCCCTCGGCCGTACACTGGATCGGGGCGTATTAGGGGGAATTTTGTGCGCAATTCCGTTTCTGGTTGCTTTCAGGTTGGCTTTGATAGTCTGGCAGGCTGGCAACTTGAACTCGTCGCGAACGCCGCGGTACTGGGCTATTAGCGGGGGGCAACCAATTTTTGTTTTTGCGCTATGCCTAGCTGTTAACAATAAATAGTGTATTTTATCGCTTTTTTTGTAGTTTTTCGTTGCTGGAAAGTTTCAAAAATATTTTTAGATTTTTTAAAATGCCAAAATATGGATTCCCCCCGCTAACAGTCCAGACGTGCCAACGATTTATGGTGGACGTGACGTGGCCGTATGGCTTCAAGCTTTTTTAATGGCCCGAACGGCTTGAAAATGATGCGGATGCGCTGCATCAACATCTCCTAGATGACGCACCACAGGAGCGCCGTTGCTTGTCAGTCTCCTTCTCCAACTACTAAAAAAATCGAAGCTACCTTTGTGCACGCAATGTAGGCGGCCTTGACGGACAGCACGACGGCGTTCAGCAGATTCCGGGCCGTCTGGATGAGGGAGAGCGCCGAGTCGAGGTGGCACTTCTTCAGCTGGTCACCAACTTGCTGCACGTCGGCTTTCACCTGAAATTGGTTTGTTTAGAAGGCACCCCAGAACCATGGCGTACCCTGCTGCAAATGTTGAGCTGGTGGCAGAAGAGGGTGATGCGGGAGAGGTACGACATCAGGTCGTCACGACTGCGACTCTCGCGAGATTCCTCGCCGATCTGCTTGGCCAGGGCGTTGAGCTTGGAGCCTGGAAAGAGGGGTTAGCAGAGATTGTTGAGGAAGAGGAGAGGGCAGGCTAGCAGAGATTGTTGAGGAAGAGGAGAGGGCAGGCTAGCAGAGCTTGAAACCAAAAAAATCACCTGCAACCGAAATCTCCTGGGCGGCCCTGATGACGTCAGAGGTCGTCTTCAGCGGGCCGTGACCGCTAAAATCGAAATACAATAAAGTTTAGCATCCTTACCGCGTGAATTCCATCATGTGCTGCATAATGATGGCCATGTGCTTGGCCAACACTATGAGGTCGTTGCCGGTCTCGTCCCACTTGGCCACCTCGTGCTCGAATTTGGTGTGGGCGATCTGGAAAGAATATATTTTACGGTTATTATCTTCCTCAACAATCTCTGCTAGCCTGCCATACCTTGAAGACGTCAATTTGCTCCTGAATCTTGCGCTTGTCCTCCTCGGGCAGGTGCCGCATGATGCGTTGCTGGTTCGGGCCATCGGAGACCTGAATAAAATGTTATTAAATAAAATTAGGTAAATAAAAATGCCATTTTGAAAGTACAAAGTCTAATGCTTAAAAACTCACGGTACTCCTGCCATCCATCACATTCGTCTGGGCGTCCTCCTCGTACTCGTTGTCCGAGTCGACGTCTTCAGGGTTTCTACAAAGAACAAATCGGTTGCAAATAATCAATTTTTGACTTTTAAACTAAAGGTTAAATTTATAATTAATACGAAACGAAATAATTAATCTATAGGTCAAAAAATGCAGGCACCTCACAGGGGGAATGCAAAAATGCGAATGTTTGCCTATAGGATGGCTAGGTGCAACGATACGAAACCAGCCATTAGTGCGCGTTTGTGGGGTTACTGTAGAGCTATGGAAAGCAGCTAGAAGAAAAGAAAGTCAAGAATTGCGATTGTGCTTTCCAAAAATTACCTATTAACAAGGAGTGCATTTCGGATGTCCTTGACGGCCTCGTGCACCAGTGTGCATGCATTCATGAACTCGTCGACGTCGCGGTTTCTGAAAATTTGACATAGAAACATTTATTTTCACTAAAATTTGAATTTTAACTAATGTAACCCAAGGCGAAAAATGACAAATTCAATTTTTTTTATTAAAAAAACGCACGTCTCTTCGGGTCCGCGCTGCGTCGGATCCTCGTCGGTTAGCCGTTGCACAACATTTGACGCACGTTCGGCAAACGTTTGAAGAACTAAAAAGCGGGAAAATGAACGATTCTTGCCTGCACGGTCTATTTAAAAACCAAAAACTCACCATCATTTCTCAGGCGCCGCGTCGCGGTTTTCACCCTATCTGCATAAGGACCTGACGGCATCGCGTTCATCTCCTCGTCGACGGCGGCGCACACGCGCAGCGAGCGGCCACGGATGGCGCCGGCGGCCCGGTCGAGCATGTCGCCGTTGCCCTGGATGACGGCCTGGAAAGAAAAATATGGGATTTTATTTTGACCTGCCAGTCTGGGGATTTTAATGTGGAAGCTGATTTTTATTGACTATGTTATTATAGTATTTTTGTTATTTTATTTTATGATTTTTTTTATTTTTTTAGTAGTTTTTGATTGTTAGAAAATTACCAAAATGTTGTTAGATTTTGAAAAATTTTGAAAATCTTGAAAGTTCGAAAATTTTGACTTTTTCAAACATTTTTGCGCAGAAAAGTAAAAATTTCGATATTTTGATAATTTCTACGAGCTTTTTATATCTAAAAATCATGTAAAATGATGTAAAAATGGTTTAATTTTGTGATCGGTTTCCCGTAAAAAAGTAAAAACCGTTACCTCCTGCCCATTGATCGCGTCCTCGATGATGTGCGCCTCGGAGACGGCCAAGAAGTCGTCGAGGGTGATGACCGAGTCGACGGCCATCGTCAGCAGGCGCACCTTGTCCTCCCACACCTCGGCGAACATCTTCATGTTCTCCTGGGCGACGCCGCTGGTCGTGTGCTGGCAGAGGAGGTGCGCTGCGTGCACTACCTGAAGCAAAAATAACATACATTTCAAAGTTTTACAGTATCCCCAGAGTCAAAATGGCATTTTTTGCCCTTTGCTAAAATCTAGCTTCCAACCTGCGGCGCGAGATGGGACAGCTGCGTGGCGGTGTAGCGTATGACGCGCAACCCCTCGCTGTCGTTGGTCATGTCGCACACAAAATGCGCCACCTAAATAATGAAGAAATATTATTATGATTATTGAAATTTTCCATACCGCCACCATGTTCTCGGCGTGCTGGGTGAACATTTCGCCGGCTTCGCGTGTAGCTGCGGGGTCACCACTTTCGGCTGCGGCGATCAGGATGGAGAGCGGTGTTCTGGAATTGGGAAATTGTCTCTGCTAGCATGCCCTGGGGGTTGTGGAGGTGCCAGTTTTCCTCAAATTGTATCTGCTAGCCTGCTCTGAGCCACAATTCCTAAAAATTGGGTCTGCCAGCTGCCCTGAACCACAATTCCGCAAATTGTCTTTGCTAGCCTGCCATGGGGCCACACTTCCTCAAATACATCTGTTAGGCTTCTCTGGGCGCCATTTCTTCAAATTGTCTCTGCTAGCCTGCTCTGTGGGGTTTTCACGGGCCACCAATTCCACAAACGGTCTCTGCTAGCTTGCCAACGGGTGAATTTTGGCACAAAAACTTTTCAAAACAATTTTTTCCACAAACCTCGTATCGAGGAACGCATCGGACACGTGGTCGACGATGGCTCTTCGCAGATGGCGGCGCAGGTCTTTCGATTTTCGGGTGACCAACACCATGGCCAGGTCGACGTCCTCGTTGTAGTCGCTGCGCCCGCACTGGAAAAGGAGTTATAGAAATACCGACCGTTATTTTGCAGGGGTATCATTAATGCTTCAATTCTACTAGGGTTCCTGTGCATTATCGGGGGGGGGAGGAGGCCGAAATATTTTGTATAATTATGAAAATGCCTAGTTACGTAAATAGAGGTATTTTAATAGTGTTTTTAGTAAAAGCATAGCTATATTTCAACTAGAAAAATTATCGAAAAATTCTGAAAAGCAGACGTTTTAGTAAAAAACGGTAATTTTTGCCAAAAAACCAATTATTTTTTGCATTATAGAGAAACAACTCAAATCGGTGAAAAAACAGTTTGGAATCACGTCTGCTATAAAGCTTTATATTTAAAAAATGAATCCTAGGAAAAAAGTGCCCCCCGGTTAATGCTCAAGAACCTCTGCTAGTTCTCATTTAGTTTTAAGCGCACATTAATTTGCATGTAAAACTCTTTCGCCTTCCCCCTTTTCCTCGTGCACGAGAGCTATTGGCCGACGGCCAAATCTGATGCTCGATCTTGATACGCGGCCGGCTAGCACCCAGCTGTGCATAAAAGGTCACACATCTCGAGTCCTTAGCCCTATTGACGAGGGGTGTTCGCCCCCCTAATAGGGACAGCGCTTCCGGGGCTTACGACAACGCAGCCGGGCTGCCAATTAGGGGCCCGGAATCTATAAACAAAATTCGCAAGTCCAACTCACATGATTCTCGTACTCCTTGAGCAGGTCCTGAAGGGCTTGGCGCAGGTTGTTACACTCGTTGATGATCTTCATCTTGCGGTCGTTGCGCGTTGAGGCTGAGTCCGCAATGTGGCCGGCCTCTGGAAGAGATTGAGATAGTAGAGAAGAGATACTTTTTCCAATTGATAAAATCTAAATTCGAAATCCTATTTTTTGAAAATGCGGCTTTTGGTAAATCTGGGATTGCAGAAAAAAGCGTGATAATTTTTATTTTTGAAGGATACAAAGGGAATTTACAAAATACGATTTTCGAAAATTTCGAAATCAGATGTTGGGTCTCCAAAGACGAAGCCTGAGCACGATAATTTCCCCATGCTCGAGCCGAAGCCCAAGCCGGTGTTCTTCAAAGCTTCTCGATTCACTTACGCGAAACAATGACTTCCAGCAGCTCCTCGAGCTCGGGCCGGTGCTTGGTCGGCTTGTAGACGCCCGGCTCCATGAAGGCTTGTTGCTGAAAACGGAAAATAAAAAATGATATGAAAAAATTAAAATATTTACTTTCTGAAAGGACTTGCTCATCAGCTTCTAACCTTGTGAAGATTTTGAAGCTTTCAAAAAATGTGCAAATTTCTCATAGATTATCACAATTTTAGTGCCACAAACCTGAAACAGGTCCAAATCCTTCATCAGACGCCCGGCTTGGCCGAGGCTGGCGTAGCCGCCCGGCCGCCCGCCCAGCACGTTGCGCATCGTGTCCATCGCGTGGGAAGCCTAAAAAAAGACTTGTTATTTTCTTCGCAGTAAATTCTCAAGCGTAAATA